GTTCCTAGAGACAGCTGGGCCTCTCCCTCACTGATGTTTAATCACTGGATCAGTGTGGCCTGGCCCAGGCCAGTTCTGGGCTGTTACACCCAGCATGGCCAGCACCTGGCTCAGGACATGATGCATGGTGGGCACCCTGTAAATATGGGTCGTGTGGCCTAAATGGGAGAAAGGGCCTTCGAGCTGGCTGCTGGGAGAAGGTGGCAGGCCGGGCTGGGCCAGCTGGGAGAGATGCAGAAGCCCAAGGCCATGTCCTTCACGTGGGCGTCAGTCTGAGAGGCACCGGTCTCACCCCAGCCCTTTCCTTCCTCTGTCCTCCAAGAGAGAACCTTTGGCTCTTTTGAGAACAAATGCTTTAGAGCTTGAAAATTGATCTCCAGGGCTTGAAATTAGAGTCCCTGATGCCTTTTATGTTGTGACAGAGACTCACCTGGGTTTTCTAGCCTCTTCCTGAATTAACTACAGAAGTAATCCCCAGTGGCATTGCAGCTGCTGTCTCTTCCGAGCTGCTTTCTGTCTCCTGGGGCTTGGCCCAGAGAGAGAGAGAGAGAGAGAGAGAGAGAGAGAGAGAGAGAGAGAGAGAGAGAGAGAGAGAGAGAAAGAGAAAGAGAGAAAGAGAGAGAAAGTAAAAAAGCATCCCAGCTTGGCACACCTTCCATTTCTTAATAGCTAGTTTTTGTGCCTGTCATCTTTTAGTCAGGATTTTTTTGTCCTTTGGGCCACTTTGTCTTCCCCATTCCTTGTCCTTGGAAGGTGGAGTTGGTTTAATTCTAACTTGCTTTAGATACTTGGGTTCATAAATTAGCCCCTAAACGTTGCTTTTGTTATTTTATCTCTTGCAGTTCTTCCGGTTCACTTGCAAATGTGTTTTTGATTCACTTTCAAAGGGATCTTGCTCCCCATTCAGATCTTATATTTCAAAAACAAATGATATCATAGCAGCGTTTTAAAACAAACACATAAAATGATTTGTCCTTAGGAAAACCTTCAAATTTTATATGATACACAGTTTGACAGAATTGGGATTTTATTACTTCTTACATTTGTAAATTTTAAATCTTTACTATGGAGAAGAACAGCTGCTGTTTTACCATGGATGTAATAAGTATCATGTTTTCTTTTACCCATGCTTGAAATATGGGTAATATGAAAGGAGTATGATCCTTTTAAGTAAGCAGTTTATATCTGGTATAAGTTTGTGACTCTCAGATGCTAAGGGAACCGGCTAGAAATATTTTATCTACAGGACTAAATATTATTTACAAATTTTAGCATATACAGACAACATCTAGTCACAGGATTTTGGCTTAACTCTTGATTTCCATCTCCGCTAGTGAGTCACCAGTACCTCTGGCTGTCCCTCTTTCAGCCTCTGTGCAGTTGTAAAAGCTGCTTTAATTCCATATTATATGTCCCTTGTAAACTCACAAAGAATATAGTAGTATTGTTCATTTGTACTATCAGTATTTGTTTGGATTTAGCCATATGTTTATCATTTACTTACTCTTTATTCCCTCTTCTCAGCTCTTCCTTCTGGGATAATGACGCTGCTTCTTGGGGGACAGCCAAGCTCCTTTACTGGGTGTGATCTGCTGGTGTAACCACTTATTGTTTATCTGAAAATGTCTTTATTTTACCTGTCAGAGAGTTTCTTGGCTATTTAAAATCTAAGATCTTAGATATTTTCTCTCAGCACTTTGAGGATTTTGTTTCATTGTCATCTGGCTTCAAGTTATGTGAAATAGTTATCTGCTGAGTTAATTGCCATCCCTTTTTCTCTGACTGCTTTTACAATTTCTGTTTGTCTTTGATGTTCTATGGTATCATCATGTGTGTAAGCATGGGTTTTAAAAAAATTCACCTTGCCTGGGATTTCTAGGTCTTTGCGAATTGAGCGATTCATGTCTTAGTCATTAATTTTGGAATATTCTTAGTACTGTGTCTTCAAATATTATCTCTATACGGTTCCTTCTATTTTTTCTAAAACTTTTATTGTGTGTTGGACTGTCTGATCCTGTCTTCCATGTCTGTTAACTTCTCTTTTTTATGTTTCTTATCTTTTTGTTTCTCTGTGCCCCGTTCTGAGTAATTTCTTCAAGTCGATCCCCCTGTTCACTAAATCTTGCTTCAGCTATGTCTAAATTGCTGCTTTTTATATATATTGAATTTAAAATTTATATTTCTAAATGTTGTTTCTTTTCCAAATATTTCTGGCTAGTTTTCATAGTCTCTTGCTTATTACTTGGTGTTTTCAGTCTCCTCTTTATTATTTTAAATGAATTAAACATACTTTAAAATATGTACCCCATAGTTCCAATATCTGAAGTCTTTATAGATATGATTCTATCTGTGTGGGTTTTTTTTCCTCTTCTTTTTTCATGGGATTTCTCTTGATTTTTGTTTATGGTACCTAATTTCCCTAGCTGCTTTATAATTTCTAATTATGTGCTCATATTTGTTGCAACTCTAGCTGCCACACCTTGCTACCTGGCTTGAGAGTGTGTTCTTCTGGAGATGATTTATGTCAGCTTTTGATGGGCATTGGAGACCTGGTCCACTTTAAATTTTGATTCTCACCATACACTTATTAGGACCATACAAGTAGTATAGGTTCCAAGTTTGGGGAGACTATGTACAATAGTCACACAAAGTCAAAGTTGAGACAGATACTTTTCTTTTTGACAGGCAGAAGTGGGTTTAACAGCAGAAATTTGTTATCTCATAATTCTAGAGGCTAGATGTCTACGATCAGGGTGTCAGCAGGGTGGGTTCCTTCTGAGGCTCTGAGGGAGAACGTGGTCCATGCCTCTCCAGCTTCTGATGGTTTGCTGCCAAGCTTTGGTGCTCTTTGGCTCGTAGGTGCATCACTCTGCTCACTGCCTTCATTTTCACATGGTGTGCTCCTTTGTGCATGTCTGTGTCCACATTCTTCCCTCTTATAAGGACGTCAGGCATATTGGATGAGGGACCCACCCTACCCCAGTCTGACCTCATCATGACTAATTACATTCGCAACAACCCTGTTTCTGAATGTGGTCACCTTGTAAGGTTCTGGGGGTTAGGACTTCCACGTAGGAACATTTGGGGGATATAGTTCAACCTATAACAGTCTCTTAGTCTGGGTTTTCCTGAGAAAGCAGAGCGTGAGATGAGGATTCATGTGCAGATATTTTATTCCAGGACTTGATCCCAGGGGACAGAAGTGAGAGACTGGGGAGAGTTCAGCAGGGAAGAGGGAAAGTTAGCCCAAGGTGTTCTCAAGCCAGACACTGTTGGGACACTTACTTTGTCTTGCTGTTCTCTGAGACATGGATTATTTTCTATCCCAATTCACTCTTTCTCTGAGGGTATGGTACTTCCTGGGCCTACGTTTGTGGAAGATGGTCTTCAGTTGGGTTCTCTACTTGTCTAGGCTGAACACTTGCCCTTTACTCCCCTGTGGCCTAAGCACCAGGTCATCTGGTCCAGGGGTCCCCTCGGCTGTGTGGCTACTTCAGTGCCCACTCCTGCTTTGTTCCTGTGCTCAGCGTGTTCGCCTTATTGTCTTGCAGGCTCATCCAGCACTTAACAGGATGTTTTTAAGCATGTGTTAAGTGTTCTTCAGTGTTCCCAAGTGGTGGGTTTCAAGATCCCTAGTCTGTCATATTGCCAGAAATAGAATAGAAATGATTCACTTAAAATTCAAGACTATCCCTATGCTGTTTCACACGCTTGTGTCCAGAAAGACTGTTGGGGTAAGAGAAAGGAGGGTGTTGCTGTGGCTCTTGATGGTTGCTCAGGCCCAGCCTGGGCTGCAGTGGACAGTCCTGGACCCTGGGCCTTCATCAGTGGCTGGGCTGTCACTTGTCCTGCTTCTCTAGGCTACGTATATGAAATACAGATGGAGGTAATTACTAGGCTTATTAAATAAGGACGACTGTCACAAGGATAAAGAATACAAAAGTTTGAGCGGATAATGGGATGATTTTGGCACATGTCAGAACTTGGTGTCCTCAGACACCATTCATTCATCGGACAGGTGTTTATTGAACTATTATTTAATGTCATTTGCTGTGCAGGGCACTGCGCAAACAGGTAAACAGCGCCCGTCCTCAAGAAGCTTGGAGTCTAATGAGCAGACACTTAATTTTGGTGGGCATGATAAGGGATGTGACAGGTAGAAGCCCATGGAGAGCCACCAACCCAACTCTGGAGGGCGAGGAAGGAGGTTATATCAGTGCTGTGTCTGAAGGACCTGTAGGAATAACCCAGGTAGAGAGCCAGGGAGGGACGTTCCAGGTAGGGGGAGAAGAACGTGCAGTCATTAAGGCCAGAAAGAATTTGGATTTGGAGAACTGCAGGTAGCTCATTTGGCTAGGGCCTAGCTGGGGAGGATGGAGAGTGGGAGTGATGAAAGCTGGGCCTGCAGGTAGCCTGGGGCCTTTGTGTGGGAGCACCACTGGGAAACCGTGGAACGCTCTAACCTGGGAGCTCTGACGCCCGTCGGAGCTGCCTTCTTCATTTCTCTTAGGAGCCAGCTCCTATCATGGCAGGGAAAACACGTGGGCTTTGGAGTCAGAGCAGCCTTCTGTGCAGATTCCAGCTCCACGCTGTCCGGGTGGCCTTGTGATCGATTTATTTACCTTCTCCGAGCCTCTCTTTCCTTGTGTGATGAGAGAGAATGGACTAGACAGCTTCCCAAGGCCGCCTCCTTTTCCAGTGTTCTGTGGTTCTGTGGAGATGAGTCTCCGTCGTCAGAAAGTAAGAGAAAAAGTATGTAAATGTGTACACAGCTTAAGTAAAAGTAGGGCTCAGGTTTAGGAATATTTGCAGACATTGTCCTGACAGTAATTCTGGCAATTTCTGGCTTCCGACTAGCTGTTTAACTTCTAACTGTGAATCATGGATATTTACAGTGCTTGGGTGTTTGTTGAACGAGTACATTTTTATGCCTGAAGCGAAACGTTCGCAGAGTGACTTTCATGGCATCACGGCTAACCCAGCTTTGATTTTCTCGACAGATGAGCTCTCTCCGGAACAGCACAACCTCTCTGTCCCCTCCGAGGAGCGCGTGCTGAAGAGGAGCCCCACGCACAGTGCTGCACAAGTGGCCTTAACAGAAACCGCCCCAGGGTCCCAGCAGAGCAGCTCCCTCCATGGCATCTCCTCTCCATCTGCCACTACTTTTGATACAACCTTTTTTAGCCAAGGAAAATGGACCCAAAGTGCAGCAGGTCACAGCCTCCTCGTGGCAAGTTACGCGTCGGTAGCGAGCAACGAGGCGGCCGTCGATGAGGATGAAATGGATAACTTTCTGCCAGATGCCCACTGGCCCACCCCACGGGTGGCTGCTCCGGTGGAGTATGTCGCAGTCAGCTCGCCAGGGCCGCCCAGAGAAGCGTCAGAGCCCACGCTCACTCCGGCGCCACCCGTGACCTCCTTGCAGGATACAGAGGTGACGTCAGCCTGGCAGACCACAGCGCACCCACCGGCAGGACACGCTGGGGCCCCCAGCCGTTTCAGCGCCTTCCCATCAGCTTTTCCCACCTCCGAGGGCATGATTCCAACTCCTAGCAGGAATTTGGTGCTTTATCCTCCTGATATTTACAGTCAGTTATCAAGCAGGACTTTGCCAGAGATTGTGGCTTCGGTGACGAAGGAAGTGGAGACCACCCTCCTCTCTAGCCCTGGGTCTCCAGGGCCCCAGCCGTCGGGCGGGGGCACCACCCCCCAGCCGTCCCCCTCGCTGGGGGAGGTCTCCCGGCCTCCAGAGGAGGTTCCGGCCGCAAGTACAGACAGATACCCTGACGTGACCACCGGGTTGAGTCCAAGTCTAGAAGAAGCCATCTCTCCAAGAGCATCCCCTGCTGTGACCGTTTCCCACCTGGCCCTCGCACTCAGCACTCCACGTTCCGCTTGGTTTTCAACTCCTCTCGCATTCGTTCCCTTTTCTACCCCGTCAGCCGATGCTTCATACGGCCCCTTCCTTCCCAGCCACCCCAGCGAGATGACAGAACTGCTCGGCAATTCGGCGGTCCCCGGTGGCCCGGGCGACACTCCCGTCCCCAGCCCCGTGGTGTCTTTGTTGAGGCCGTACACGTGGTGCGCGTCCTGCAGGGTGGCGTCGCCCCGGCCCGCTCTGGCCTCGAGCCTCGCGGAGAGAGACGTGGGCTCCGGGGACGGTGCGGAGACCCCGTGCCTGACCATGCTGGAAGAAAGCAGCGTCTCTCCGCCGAGCAGGGTCCTGGCGGACTTCTCCGAGTTTGAGGAAGAGCCTCAAGAATTCAATACGCTTTTCCCCTCGAGGCCCGTGGTCTCACTTTCCTCCAGGTCTGTGGACGTCTCACACGCGAGCGTTGGCGTGTCGGCCGAGGCGGATGTGAGCAGTGTCGTGGCCACACAGGTGCACCCGTCCCACGGCCTCCTCCCCGTGCCCTCGTCCCTTGGTCCTGCCGCCGCCGCCTCTGTTTCGGAGACCCAGGCGATGCCATCCGGCGCGACCGCTGCGTTTTCCTCAGTCACCGCCAGCATTCTCCCGGACTCCTCTTTCTCCGTCATGGCAAACAAAAACACACCCTTGGTCGCCATCCCAGAGCCGAGTCTTTTTCCTTCTTATAGTTTGGTTCCTCTAGCAGAGTCTTCGCTTTTCCCTGACCAAGAAGCAGCCAGTTTTTTTGAACACAAACCCGGAAGCATTTTGGATTCCGTGTCCAGCTTTTTCTCAACTCCCCCACTGGGAGTCAGCAGCCCCGTCCTTTCCCCTTTGGAGGCACTTGCTTCTCCGTCTCTGACGCCAGGTGACTTGTCACCCTCCATGTCTCAGTCTTATTCTGCCTTGGTCGAGACAGTCACATCATCCGACTCTGTTGATTTGCAGTCACCTCAGCATTCTCTTCCTAGTTCCACGAGCCTTGAGTCCTCTCAGCTCTGGCCAAGTTCAGACCTGCCTTTGAATGCCGTCACCTTCCTGCCTAGTCACTCTGAAACGTCACCACGCTCGAGCTTCCCCTCTGGTTCTCCCAAGTTCACCGAAGCATCACCGGTTTCTCTTACAGATTCTGAAGCTCATCTTACCTCAACTCTCACTGAAACTACCTCCTGTTTTGAGTTTTCGCTCATTTCCCGTGAATCCGCAGTCACCACACTGGTGCCCTCCAGCTCCGAGCCCGTCCTTGACGTCCTGACTGCAGGGACTCACGGCACGCCACCGTTGACTGCTTTCCACGTGACGCCTGTCCTCACCGAGTCTTCTCCGTTCTCAACTCCGACACCTTCCGACGAGGGAGCCAGTGCCACCGGTGGCCACTCACCTGTCTCTGCCTCTTTCTCCAAAGCCATTCCCACCGGCACAGCCTCGATCACTGACGTGTACCTGTCACCAGCATCCTCGTTTGTCTCTGAGCTGACTCCCTCACCTGTGCCGACAGAGCCGGTGGTCGTGGGCCCACTGTTCACACCCTCAGATGTGCCGCTGAACACCTCTGCTGAGCCGGGCACGTCCGACACCAGTGCTACCGTCGCCGTCCCCACTGACACCTCCCTGAATGGCAACGCCGCCAGTGAGAGCCCCCAGGAGAGCAGCGCCGAGCCCCCCCTGCCCTCCCTGCACCCTGTGACCACCTTCACTCCGGAAGCAACGGTGGACACTCCAGCACTGGCCACCGCCAGGCCACCGTACGTGTGTGATATCACGGTGCCCGATGCCTATTTGATCACAACTGGTAAGGCCCTGCTGCTCTCTGGTGGGGGCGGGTGGGCAGTGCTGGCCTTTCTGCGGCGCTTGTGCGCAGGGCTCCCGAGACTCGGAGTGCCGTGGTGACGTGCGTGCAGGCGCTGGGCTTAGATAACTCCTGGTAGTGATCCTCCCTCCTCTGTCTGCCTCCCGCGGTTCTCAGACAATTAGTAGCCTCTCTACGCCTCTGTTTCCTCGACTGTCAAACAAGGGTGGTACTGGCACCCACTTCCTTGGATTCCTGTTAAGATGTGAGTGTATTCACGCGTGTAAAATACTTAGCCCAGTGCTGGCACGTAGGAAGCACCCGCAGAGTATTGCGTATTAGTTAGTAGTCGCAGTAAGAAGGAACGTAAGATTTAAATGAGCCTTAGAAGTTTTTGGTAGGATCTTTGGCCTGGGAGCGCATAACCCGCCGGCTGCATAGATGACATCGTCAGGACACTTCCATGTTTAGTTCAAGCAACGAGCTGGGCAAGTGCGTAAGGGCAGCCCTTGCAGTTTCTTACTCATTTGCTGTTCTTACGTTCCCTTGAAAGGAGGGTGCACTTTGCTCTTGCAGATTCTTGTAAATGTCACTTCAATCCTATGGAAAGAAAAACCAAGTGACTAAATATCCCTGAATCCCGTCTCAGGCTTTGCCCCCCTTCCCGCCTGCAGCCTGAGTTGCTGGGCGAGCAGCCTGCGGCTTCTCCTGCGGTTGCGCGGCTGCCGTGGCCACCTCGAGGCGGCGTGCATCCAAGGGCGTTCCCCCATGGGGGCGACTTACTTCAGGGATGATGTCCAGTGGCTGGCCCGCTAGGTCAGGGTCTCCACGTTTCTCTCCGTAAGAAGTGACCTAGGCGTGTGGAGTCTCCTGGGCTGTCACTGTAGCTCGGCCGCAACCTGACACTGACGAGCAGCCTGCCCTGGGTGTTGATTGGGGTGGGGGTGGAGGACAGAAGGGAGGAAGGGCGGAGAAAATGGCAGAAGAGGTAGAAGAGGAGTGGACCAGGAAGGAGCGGAGAGTGTGGAGGGAAGGTGGGAGAAGAACAGGCTTGGTCTTCGTCCTCCGTGCCAAGGGCGGTGGACCTCTGAGCCCCTGCTCACTGTGGCAGTGCTGCCCCTCTGAGGTCTGGAAGCAGCAGGACCCCTGCCCCCCCCACCCAAAGGGAACCACTTGTTAATTCATGTGATGAATGATTATTGAGCGCTTAGCATGGGTGAGGTGCTTCTAGAAGCTTTAAGGGATGCTTTAAGGTGTGGTCCCATCCTGGGAGGAGCTCAGAGCCTGGTAGGGCAGATGGTGAGCCATGAGCCGTTTTTTCCTGGTGGCTGTAGTAAAAATGGTCAGACTTCTCTAGGAGTGCCTGTTTGGGGCGATCGGGGACGGGGCTTGGAAGAATGTGTAATTGGAGACCCATGTTAAAGGAAGAGTAGAGTGTTGTCATCTGAAGGTGGAGGGAAGTGTCCTGTGGGGGGAGGAGACATTCAGCCTGGCAGGAGATTAGACTTTGTAAGAGGGGAGCAGGTACTTATGCCGGGAAATGAGGTTGGAACAAAATTATGAGCTTTAATCTTCAGGATCAGAGTAGTCCCGTGGGAGACAGAAAGGGTTTCTCATGCACTTGATACTTTTCTTTCTTCTTACAAAATTATTGCAAAGTAGCTACCAAGGGTCAGTTATGAGGAGCTTATTAAGACAGTTACTGAAAGCTGCTTTATCTCTAGGAGCCTATGATATTTACGGCACGGTTGTAATATTGTGTCTTTTATAGTTTTTCTGTGAATAATTATTAATAGAAACCATTTTAGGGGTATCTCTAAGAATGTGAGGTATTTAACTTTCACATGTGGTGCATGTTTAATGATATTTGGTGCCCTTTATTATGTTTCCATATATTTTTAACAGGTTTTTGGAGTAAAATGTACCCATTGAAAGTGTGCAGTTTCAGTAAATGTCCGGAGTTGTGCATAGGTGTTACATTGTATTTTTTAGTGGAGATAAAAAAAAAAAAATGCCATCTTTTGCTTTCAGTGATACCTTTCCCCCGGAGGACGTATGGGGTCATTTCCAGTCTTCATTTAGATTTGATCTTGGTTTCTTTGTAGTAATTATCTATTAGTGAGAGAGTCCGGAGAGGGAGTCGCAGTGATTCCCTGTCCCGTGAAAGGATTCTTTTTTAGGGAGCTCTGAAGGATTCTTTTTTAGGGAGCTCTGAAGTAAATAAAACGGGACTAGCCTAGAGGCTGCTGCTCCGTGGCAGACTCTTAGGAAGGCACTTGGCCGTGTGTATCCAGGGACAGGTGGCTGCTGCCCTTCCCACCCAGGACCTTTCTGACTCGGTGCCCCCTCTGGAGCTCTCTCTCCCCTCTCTCCTCTTAGCTCTGGACATTTGGGGAAGCATCTATAAGATGTTCATTTGCAGATGATCCCTTTTCCCAAAGACTCCTGTCCTCCTCTCACAATGTTGTAGTTTTGTGTCTTAATCAGATAAGCCAAAGAAGGCGGAGGAGGCTGTGCTGGTGGCCCTGGGGGCTGGGCAGAGTAGACCGGGTCTGCCTTCCGCAACAGCGGGCTACTTGCAATATGGACTTCCTGCTCTCCTCGTTAGGATTTTCCTATTTCTGACTTCTCGTTCTGCCTCTGCCCACGTTTAGCCCTTGAGACCCTCTCTCTCCCCCTCCTTCTCTCCTCTTTCCCCTCCCTCATTCTCCTTTCCTTCCCCCCCGTCTTTCCCTCTACTCTCGTCATTTCCTTCCTTAAATAAGGTGCCTTTTCTGCTTTCCACTCTTCCCCCTTCCCACCCCACTCACTCTGTCTTTCCCTTTAGAGTCCTTGGCGTGGTCTGGCCCCCTTAGAGCCTGTGTGGGCCGTGCTGAGTTGGCTGTTGGTGTGACCCAGCGTCGTGTGGGGCTGTGGATTCATTCCAATGGTCTCAGGAACTAAAGAAGCCCCCACTTTGCCCTTTAAAAAAAATTTAGATCACTGATTCATAGAAAAAACAATCAAATGTTAAACATTTTTTTTTAACAGATGAAGAATGCAGAGTGATTCTGTCTCTTGTTTTAAAAATTAAGATCAGGAAATGGGAAACTGAATGATAATATCAAATGTATTCTAATTATGCATTATGGGAAGTTGTTGGAAGAGGAAAGAAAAAATAATAGAGAAAAGAACAAGCTTACTAAACTGAGAAATGGGCTTACTTAGTAGTATAGACTTTTACATAAAACTTTTTATTTATTTATTTATTATTGTTATTATTATTGTTTTGAGACAGAGTCTCACTTTGTTGCCCAGGCTAGAGAGAGTAAGTGCCCTGGCGTCAGCCTAGCTCACGGCAACCTCAATCTCCTGGGCTCCAGCAATCCTCCTGCCTCAGCCTCCTGAGTAGCTGGGACTACAGGCATGTGCCACCATGCCCGGCTCATTTTTTCTATATATATTAGTTGGCCAATTAATTTCTTTCTATTTATAGTAGAGACGGGGTCTTGCCCTTGCTCAGGCTAGTTTTGAACTCCTGACCTCGAGCAATCTGCCCACCTCGGCCTCCCAGAGTGCTAGGATTACAGGTATGAGCCACCGTGCCTGGCTTACATAAAACTTTTTAAATGTGAAAATCGTTAAACAGAATTAGACTTTGATATGAGAAATATTTCTTACATAAAAATGAATACATGGGAATTTTGAAAATCTTTTCCCCCCTTTATTAGTGGTAAAAACTCTTTTGTTTTGAAAACTTGGGATAGGAGACCTCATTTTTTAGAGAAAGGTCATCTAGTTGTGTTGAGTAACATCTTAAGGCCTTTTAAAATATTACTTCTGGGAGCTTTTAAAGCCTCGTGTTTTGCCGTTGGGGCCATAGCCAGGAGACAGCCTGGTATCTGTCCAGGTGAAAATGGGAACTAGAAGCTCTTTGTCCCCTGGCTGGGTCATAGCTGCTGATTCCTGATCTCACCTGCCAGAGGCAAAGGGGTTGCTGTGCACGGCACCAGCACAATTTACCTGCTACCTTCCAGGTCCTCCCTGCTGTTCTTCTGTAGGTAGTCGGTAGCAGTTGCATCCTTAAGCTCTATTCTATCCTGGTTTGGGCCTTATTTTTACAAAAAGACTTTTGGAGCTGCTAACACACTTTGGCACAGAGCTGGTGTCCGGAAGTGTGACACGTTTGTTATTCATAATGACACTCAAATGCATTGGTGGTTGGCTTTAATTTGTAGTGCTGGCCAGAAGAGCCGTGCAGGAGTACATCATCACATCAATCAAAGAAGTGTTGAAGATTCACTTCAACCGTGCGGTGGAGCTCAAGGTGAGTCCCTGTGGCTTGGGAGCCTGACATCTAACAGGACCAGGGCTGACAGGACGCAGGGGCGGGCTGGAGGCAGGTGATTACGTCCGGGGAATCCTTCTCCTTCCTTTCTTCCCTCCCGTGTCCTGATTCACTCCTACTCATTCTCTGGATCTCCACTCAAATGTCACTGCATCAGAGAAGCCTTTCCTGACCCCGGATGAGGTCAGGTTTAGTCCGTGGGGAGATGTGTTGGCAGAGTTGGAACAAAGGGGTTCTCGGGCCAGAGGTGGCAGGGTCTGGGCCATCACCATTTCGCTTCCCTTGATACCCATTAAAGGACTTGGATTTGAGTTTAAATTAGATTTTAGAGTGAGCACACATGTGTCTTTCTGTACATTTAGTGAGACAGAGGTAGATGCCCAGATCTTTGCCACTGGACCCTGTGCTGGTACGTCTTCTCCCCGATGAGCCCCGAAAGCCGTGCCCTGTCTAGAGATGTGACATCTGGGGCAGAGGCGGGAGCCACGTGTGGCTGTGGAGCCTGTGAAATGGGCGTGCCTTCTGAATCGCGACTCGCTGTGGGTGTGATGTGCACACCAGATTTCAGAAATGCAGTGAAAGAAGGGACATAAAATACCTCATTAATAGTTTTTTGTATTGACTACACATTGAAGTGCTATTTCAGATATATTGGATTAAGTAAAGCATATTTAAAATTAATTGACCTATTCTTATGTTTTTTAATATGGCCACTGGAAATTTTAAAGTTGTGTTAAGTGGCTCCTATTGTATTTATTTTGAACTGTGCTGCTCAGTAGCATAAGCTCCCCTTTCTATGTGGTTTAAATGCAACAAGCACCTTGAATTCTCCCTAACTTATATTCAGTTCATATCATTGGCTGGTCTTTCTCACAGCTCTTGTAATTTTGTGCTGTTTTTGAGAAGGTTGGCAGAGAATAAAATGGATAACTAAAATAAAACTGTGACTATCTGAGAAGCACCACTCCTTCATTTGAAACTACCAGTTTATTTTTTTACTTTATTTTTTTTTTCATATTTGTCTGTCTAACACAACTTCTTTTAGGTTTGAGTTGTCTTTTGTATTTTTTATTTTCCTAGGTTTATGAACTATTCACTGACTTCACTTTCCTTGTAACATCTGGTCCTTTCGTTTACACGGCGATATCGGTCATAAATGTGCTTATAAACAGTAAACTCGTGCGTGACCAGTCTCCTTTAATCCTGTCTGTGAAACCTTCTTTCCTGGTGCCAGAGTCCAGATTCCAAGTTCAAACAGGTGAGACAGCTGAACACAGTTGTTTTGTTTGTAAATAGAATTTCATTTTATTTTTAAAATTTTTTTTTTTTTTTTTTTTTTTGAGACAGAGTCTCACTTTGTTGCCCAGGCTAGAGTGAGTGCCGTGGCGTCAGCCTAGCTCACAGCAACCTCAAACTCCTGGGCTCGAGTGATCCTTCTGCCTCAGCCTCCCGGGGCATGCGCCACCATGCCCGGCTAATTTTTTTATATATATATCAGTTGGCCAATTAATTTCTTTCTATTTATAGTAGAGACGGGGTCTCGCTCAGGCTGGTTTCGAACTCCTGACCTTGAGCAATCCGCCCGCCTCGGCCTCCCAAGAGCTAGGATTACAGGCGTGAGCCACAGCGCCCGGCCTATTTTTAAAATTTTTAAAAAATTGGAAATCATTTACTAAATTTGTAATTTAATTTTTTCAAAACTTTATAATTATGGAGAGTCTCAAGCATACACAAAAGTACACAGAATAGTTTAATGAACCCACATGTACCCATCCTACAGCTTCAACAATTTTCAGCTCCTGGCCAGTCTGATTGAATCTGTACCCCTATCCACTTTCTCTCCTCTCACGTTATTTTAAAGTAAATCTCAGGTGTCAAATCATCTCACCAGTAAATATTTTAGCCCATGCTTCTAAAAAATAAAGACTATTAAATATATATACACACACATATGTACACACACACATATATATATATCTATAATATCATCACACCCCCTAAAGTTAACAGTAATTCCTTAATATTGCATTTACCTTTTTATTATGGACATTTTCAAATATATGCAGAAGTCAAGAGAATAATATCGTAAGCCCACATATGCCCATAATTTAAAAATTACCAACATTTTACCAATTTTGTTTTGTCTATCCCCCGTAAACTTTTTTGAGGACACTAGAGTGTTTTAAAGCAATGCCAGATATCATTTCACCCATGAATACTTAAGAATTTATCTGTAATGAATTTATATATATCTGAAATCTTTCAATCAGTTTCAGCTTCTAATGCTCAAATTGTTATGCTAGGTATTTTTCCATTTTAAAATGATACCAGTTGGCCGGGTGCAGTGGCTCACGCCTGTAATCCTAGCACTCTGAGAGGCCGAGATTGGAGGATTGCTTAAGGTCAGGAGTTCGAGACCACCCTGAGCAAGAGTGAGACCCCATCTCAACCAGAAATAGAAAAAATTAGCCAAGTGTGGTGGCGCACACCTGTAGTCCCAGCTACTCTCCATTTCCATGAGATAATATTAGTACATAGAAATGGCATATCCCTCTTTATTCCTTCATACTTAAGAAATACCTTATTCATGGGACTTTGATTGCTGTCCTTGTTTTCAGTACTTCAGTTTGTGCCTCCAAGTGTGGATACTGGCTTCTGCAACTTCACCCAGCGCATCGAGAAAGGCCTCATGACAGCTCTCTTTGAAGTGAGAAAACACCACCAGGGGACGTATAACCTCACGGTGCAGGTGAGAGTATCACTGAAGGCAGAATGGAGTGCCTTACCCTTTAAAGGGGAAATTATTTCGCAGTGTTTCATTTAATATGTGCTTAACTCTGTTCCTTCCAGTGGAGGAAATCAGGCCATGTGGGCCAGTGTTGATCCCTACCTGTGGAGGAGGGTCTATGTAGCATGAACGGGCTAAGCATCTCGGAGGGTTGCAGAGTAGCTGCTCACCAGGGAGCTCAGATATGGTGAGCTGAAGACATGACCATATGCAGGAAATTCAAGAATGTTCCAAAAGGAATGGTATCCACCTAACATCCAGTGGAGGGGATGCCTACATAGACTGGTATTCCAAATTATGGAATACCATGGGATGCTTCACTCTGGACACGGTATAGCTGCAGTCAAAGAACTGGCTTTGTATGTATTGTGGAAACTGCTGATGTTTTTATATTTCTTTCTTCTCCCCTCCATATTCTTTGTTCTCCCTTTCTGAAATGCATGTTAAATTTTGGCCCTCCTGGGTCCAACTTCCATGTTTCTTACTTTTTCCTCATATTTTCCATCTCTTTTATTCCTTATTTGTACAGAATTACTAAACCATGTTCTCCACCTCATTAATTTAGTCTTCAGTTGTGTCCATTATATTATTCAATCTCTCTATTGAATTTTTTTTTTTTTTTTTGAGACAGAGTGTCACTCTGTTGGCCGAGCTAGAGTGCTGTGGCACCAGCCTAGCTCACAGCAACCTCCAACTTCTGGGCTCAAGCGATCCTTCTGCCTCAGCCTCCCAAGTAGCTGGGACTGCAGGCATGTGCCACCATGCCCGGCTAATTTTTTCTACATATTTTTAGTTGGCCAATTAATTTCTTTCTATTTTTAGTAGAGACGGGGTCTCGCTCTTGCTCAGGCTGGTTTCGAACTTCTGACTTTGAGAGATCCTCCTGCCTCGGCCTCCCAGAGTGCTAGGATTACAGGCGTGAACCACCATGCCCAGCCTATTGAATTTTTTTTAGCAGTCATTTTATTTTCATTGTCCTTTGCTCCTTTTTCACTGTAGCCTGTCCTGTGGGATTGTCTTGAAGGATGAGGCAATATCACCTTGAGACTCTCTGTGGACATTATTTAGAATTTTGAAAAATTTGTCTTCCGTTTCCTAAGTTATCTTGATTTTCCCTGCATTGTTCTGCGTGTCGATGTTGGTCCTTTGCTTTTGCGCTGTTAGTTTCTATAAACGTCTGGAGACCATTGGTTGGTTGGTTGTTAGGGATGAGGAACCAGCTTGTTTGTCTGGGCAGCTCGTACAGCTTCCCCTGCAGCTGCGGGGTCTGTTTCTACATCAGCACATCTCCTGATGGGAGAGCTCATCAGAGCGCTGGGTGCTGGGCAGAATGTCCACTCGGGCCTCTAGGCATCTCTCTCCGTGCGGTGTGTGGTCAGAGGCAGACGGAGAACATCCTCTGTCCAGTGTCAAGATAAGGAGTCTTTTCTCTGGGGATGGGGCACTTTAGCATGTTTCTGAGGGCAGAGCTGAGAGCTGGCTGTTTTTTTCACCCCTCCACTTTCTTTCCTTGTTTGTCTCTTGTGTGCACTGGAGTTATCTCGGTCTCTGCCCAGCTTCTTGCTTAGAGCCTACACCCACCATAGGGCAGGCGGTTCATTCACCTCAGGGAGCAGTTCTTTATGTTATTCTGCGTGAAGATGTAGCTATCGCTGGCACCCAGTGTTAGCCTGGGTGTGGCACTTAGGAAGGAAGGGGAGGTGGCCTCAGCTCTTTGGAACAGGCTGTCAGTTAATTCTACGATGACCACTCTGTAGCCCACTCTGGGTCTCACTCCTGCTGCTCACTCTGCCCTGGCACCCCAGGCCCTCTGCGGGGGAAGGGCTCTCAGCTCTGCTGCAGGCCATGCCTATGTGTTCCCTCAGTTCTGGTTTATATTGATATGATCCGTTCCTTTCTCCATATTCTAGAAATTTGACAGAATCTCGAGTTTTCTTTGTCTCAGTGTGCTTGTGGCTTTATTCCCCTTTGTTTGACTGACTGTTATTTCTCTGGGATTTGGGTAGGAGGGAGCAAGGAGGACTATAAATACTCGTGCTCAGTGCATCCCTCAATGTAAGAAACAGGGTTGTTTTTTTTTTTTTTTGTGACAGAGTCTCGCTTTGTTGCCCAGGCTAAAGTGAGTGCCATGGCGCCAGCCTAGCTCACAGCAACCTCAAACTCCTGGACTCAACAATCCTGCTGCCTCAGCCTCTTGAGTAGCTGGGACACCATGCCTGGCTAATTTTTTCTATATATATTAGTTGGCCAATTAATTTCTTTCTATTTTTAGTAGAGACGGGGTCTCACTCTTGCTCAGGCTGGTTTCGAACTCCTGACCTCGAGCAGTCTGCCCACCTCGGCCTCCCAGAGTGCTAGGATTACAGGCGTGAGCCACCGCGCCCGGCCAAGAAACAGGTTTTAAAATTGAGCATTTAAAGTCTTAGGAAAGAAAACTGGGTTAGAAGGCCAATTACTCTTTCCTTTAAAAACTTTACCTCCCTTTAAAAAATCGGTGAGAGAACTCGTGAGAGAGAAATCACAGGCAAGTTCTCAGGTGAAAGTTTTAATTTATTGTAGAAGTTTATTCTGACTTCATTCTTTCAGATCTTGAATATCACCGTCAGTTCCTCAAGGGTGGCTCCTCGGCGCGGCCCGGTGAACATTATTTTTGCTGTTAAAAGCGCTCAGGGATTTCTGAACGGCTCGGAAGTGAGCGAGCTGCTGAGGAACTTGAGTGTGGTGGAGTTCAGCTTCTACCTGGGCTACCCGGTGCTGCAGATCGCAGAGCGTGAGTACCGGGCCCCTTTGCCGTGCCCGGGAGGGGCTGTGGGTATTTTTGTTGGTGGGTCTCTTTCTAAAATTTTGTTTAAAGATTTATTTTTGTTAAGTGCTGTTTTGGGTTTACAACAAGTGTGATCGGAAGGTTTGGAGATTTTCCCATATACCCCCTGCTCCCACATATTCATAGCCCCCCATGACCAACCCTCCCCACCCCCCTACAGTGGCATGTTTGTTACAATCCGTGAACCTGCGCTGACACATCACCGTCACCCAGAGTCCGTGTTTACACGAGGCTTCATTCTTGGTGTTGTGCTTTCTGTGGGTTTGGGTAAATGTGTGAGGATGCGTGTTTACCATTGTGGTATCATACAGAATATTTTCACTGCGACCTTTATTTTTCAAAGAAATATTGGACCAAACTCCAGATTATAAACCAGATAATATTAGAATTCCTCAGGTTCAAGCCAGGGGGTCTCCAGAGCCCTCCTCCCCCACCCACTGCGCCTGGCTTTATTACTCTCTTCTGAGAGTAAAGGGGCACTGGTAGAAAGTGCCCCAATTCTGGAAAAGACAAAACCTTGGGGGTCAAGAACAGATCTGTGGTTGTCAGGGGTTAAGGGTGGGAGGAGAGATCGATGACAAAAAATGCAGCAGAAAGCAATTTTGGGGGAGATGATGAAACTGTTCCTTATCTTCCTCGTGGCAGTGATTTATGCAACTTTATGCATTTGTCAAAACTGTATGCCAAAAGAGTAAATTTTATTGTGTAAATTTTAAAATAAAAGTAATAGATGAAGACAAACAAAACCTTTCTTCCCGGCCAAAGTCATTAGATTCATAGTGCAAACTCAAGCAGCAAAGGAGAAGAGGAGAATGTTTACTTCAAAATACAGTAGGTCCCAGCATTGAAGTTAGGTGAAAAATATAGTAAATTCTTTTTCAAAATGCAACAGCCAGATGGCCTAATGACTCTTTATGTATTTCAGTCTATTGTTAATTAAACTGAAAAGAATAACTTTACGCATTACTCTATACAAAAGTAGACAGGGATAAAGTTGTTGTTTACAAATAGCAACTTTCCGTTGTGCGTGATGCATGTATGGCTAAAATACTAGGTATGCCGGATGATGGGTGCACCGGGACCATCCGACGTGTGGCCACTTTGCCCCGAGCCATTGCTGGGACAGCCTAGAGCTGTGAGGAGCGCACTGGGAGTGCGCACTGCTCTGGAACGGTGACATCTAACAGAGAACTCTCGGGTGACCTCTCTGTGCAGCAGTGGCCTGAGATGTGGCTGGAGCTACCCTTTATGTCTTATTGTCCCTCTCTTTCTCCTCAAGACCCATGTGTTCAGAAACTGCTACTGTCCGTGTCTTCACGCTAATCTGGCATTTTGTTCTTTGGTATGCAGAGCTAAACAGTGTAGGAAAAACAATGTGCTGTGACTTTGTTGTAAGCATGTTTTTTTTTTTAAAGCAGATTTTCCCCTACCCTCTTTCTCTTTTGTAGCCTTCCAGTACCCACAGCTCAACTTATCTCAGCTGTTGAAGTCCTCTTGGGTCAGAACAGGTATGTTTAACTTATGTAATGTTTTGGGAACTGTAAGAATAAGAAGTCTGTCTGGGCATGTTGAGAAGGATACTGCCTTTCCTGTTTGCTAAATTTAGGGCAAAATGTACCTTCAGTGCTTGGCAAAGAATGAATGAGAAAGGGATTCAGATTTGGCTGTGGGAGTGTGTCCCACTGAGTTATGGCACAAAAAGGATTGGCTTTCTTTAAAATCATACATCAAGTCCAGGGCAGAGTCTAACAGGAACTGACACTCTTCTGACCCAGAACAGGATGAGGTTCAGAAGCAATGATCTTTTTTTTTTTTCTTCTAAAAGTATTATTTATCTGGTTTAATAAGGACAAGCAAGGTGGCCTGGTGAGCAAATATTAATAGGAAGCTTTTTCTTATCTTGGGGGACTGGGTCAGATATTCAGAGCTATGACATTGCAGATTAAGGTTTTCTAATCTGGTACACAAAAGTCTAACGGAGAGTTCTGTGCTCAATGGGTGCCCAGCATGCAAGCAACACAGTCACTCACCGGGCATGAGAGAGAACATGCAGAGTAGCTCTAGTCACCATTTATGGGATTCCTGGACCTTGCAAGTTCTCCTTGCGTAACATAAAACATCCTATGTAAAGGCCCTACCTCTTTGGATGGCACATCAGTCCCTTTTTCCAGATAATTTTCATAGCAATTAAGTAACTTGCCCGTGGTTGTGTATCAAAGAGAATTGAAACCAGTTCTGGTTGAAAAGCACATGCTCCTCTTCCTCGACCACTCTGATAAGCTGATTGTCTTGCAGATAATTTTGTCTAAAGCAGGTAACTGAAGATAGGTGGGCACCCTTTTCTCAAGCAACTTTGAGTCCAAGTATTAAGACAAGATAAGAACTCATGCTGTTTCCAGTTTTGAGATAAGTGCAGACAAAATGTTTGATCCTGTGTAGGTGCTCTTAGTTGCAAAGCTCCCGCAGTGCTGAGTTCCTGGGACTTCCGGCCAGCAGTCTGGGTAATGCTCAGAGCTTGGAGCCATAGACAGACTCATGAGCTGTACTTCCTGGGCTCTCCCTCTCCCTGTTCACTTTTTCCCCTTTTAATGTCTCCTATCTAGGTATTGACATTTTACAGTAATCCTACATTAATTTCACTTTCTCTCAATCTTTCTCTCTCTCTCTCTCTCTCTCACACACACACACACACACACACCCTTTTTCTTTATACCACTGACCTGTTTTGGGTGCTGCGTGTTTCCTTTTAAACACAGTCCTCCTGGGCGTCGTGGAGAAGCAGCTCCAGAACGAGGTGTTTCAGGCGGAGATGGAGCGCAAGCTGGCCCAGCTGCTCAGCGAGGTGTCCACCAGAAGGCGCATGTGGAGGAGGGCCACCATCACCGCGGGGAACAGCGTGGTGCAGGTACTCTAGGGGCCAAAGGAGGAGGGGAAGGGGAGAGGTAGACAGACAGTGTGTACATAGGCCATCTAAAAACCTGCATTTTATGCAAATGGGAAATGCCATGAGAAAATTCTGATTTTGACTGATTGCTATATTAGGTAGCAACTGAATTGGCAGTGTATCAGTTCAACTGGAGTTTAGGCAAATTATTTACCAAACCCTTAGTAAGTAGCTGGCATAGGCCTTGGGCAGCATCTCAGAAGAATTGTGTTACTGGGTTGCCATGCTATCGCATGACCTTATTTTTCAAAGAATAGTTTTTTAATTAACAAAAATGTAGCCTATTTTATGGAATGGTAAGTACTGTTGATAGCATTGTCGAGAGAAATCATTCAGCTGGAAGAGTCCTGAATAGATCAGAAAGAGGGAAACTCTCTACCCACCATTCTAGCATTTCATTTCTCTCTGCCTCCTGCCAACATGGTTGTCTCATCTTACCCCAAAGCTTCTTCACTTTGGTAAACTGGCAGACAGTCTACAAAAGACAGATTTGTTTGAATTGAAAAGTGACCCATTTAAAATGCACATTCTCCCAGAAACTTGGAGGTTGGGGACGTCATTTATTTCCATCCCTGTATGAATTATGTGGATTCTTTTTCTTCACCAACTGCTGACTTGTAGAGTTAGGAAAATGGGATGTTTAGAGCTAGGGCATTTCAGAAAGAAAACGCCAGGGTAGAACTCCTAAGGGCAGGGTGTGAGCTTGCACGCAGGGTGGGGAGGTGAGTAGGGGTAAGAGGCATTAGAGAAAAAGATGCATTACCGGGTGGCGGGGCATGGTGGTTTCGCCTAGAATTATGTCCTCATTGTACAACTCTACCAAGTGTTTTCCTGTCAGCATGGCTCCTTGTCCCCCTCCCCGGAAACGTGGTGCTTAAGTTTCTAAAATAGTCCCTTTGCCAGATGCAGTAAGTTATAGAGAAATTTGAGAACACACAAATAATAAAAATTAAAATATAATATAAAAGCTTTGTCTTATTCAAAAGTTCCTAGCTTCATAGAGCTCAAGGTCTAAGTGGGCTTATGCCATGAAACAGCTATCGGGCACCACAAAACTGTGTAATATGGTGCTAAATTAGATACACGAGCTCCCTTAAGTAAGAATACGGATTTGTGAAAGTTAACCAAGCTGTCCAGGTGCCATCTGACAAATTGCTTACAAGCTACACTCTGCTTCTCTTCCCCCTTTAGAGTGACCACACATGACAGTGTAGACAAGGATTTGTGTATAACAGTACAAGGCTCTGCATCCAAACCTAATTTGTAAGAGTGAAAATGTTGAAACAACCTAGGTGTCCGGCATTTGGGGAATGTGTAAATAAGTTATAGTACATCTGTACATGTTGGAATATTATGCAGCCATTTAAAAATAATTTAATGGTATAGAAAAATGCTGAAGCGAAGAGAGGCTACAAAAGGAGGTATGCAGCATAATCCAAATATTAATACAGAATTCATGGGGGAAAAAAGAATGGAAGGGAATGTGCCAAAATGTTCACAGTGATTGTCTTCAGTTGGTTGAATTTCAGATGATCAGGCGAGTTTCATTTTATCCTTTATACTCTTTTGCACGTGTTTTTCAAAACTTCTCCAGTGGGCTCTATAATTTCTATAGAGACATGTGATTTAAGTCAGAAAGCAATTTTATTGCTATCTGTCACAGCTGTCCAAAAAAAATAAAAAAAAAAAAAAAAAAAAAAAAAGAAAGCAATTTTAAAAATGAAATTGAAGATGTTAGCCAAACTGATGACTCCATGACACCAGGGTTATATGGTCGAGATATGAATCTGATTAGCAGTCACCCAGAAAGGATGCTGGAATTAGATTTTACTGACTTCCACACTAGACATCTTGGTCTGCATGCGGTGCTGTAAATGAGTACCTGAGGCTGGGTGATTTATAAAGAAAAGAGGTTATTTGGCTTGGGGCTCTGCAGGCTGTCCAAGAAGCCTGGTGCTGGGTGATTTATAAAGAAAAGAGGGTTATTTGGCTTAGGGTTCTGCAGGCTGTACAAGAAGCGTGGCGCCAGCATCTGCTTCTGGTGAGGCCCTCGTGCTGCTTCTGCTCATGGCAGAAGGCCAAGGCGAGTCGCGTGTAGCGATCACATGGCGAGAGAGGGAGAGAGAGAGAGAGAAGGTGTCAGGCTCTTTTTAACAACCAGCTCTCTCAGGAGCTAGTAGAGTGGGAACTCACTCATGGCTCTGGGGAGGGACCAAGCCATGCATGAAGGATCTGCCCTGTGACCCAAACAGCTCCCACCAGGCCCCGCCTCCAACACTGGGGATCGGACTTCAACGTAAGCCTTGGAGGAGACAAATGTCCAAACTATAGCACTGGACAAACTTGTAGAAACTTGAATCAAAGTGGGTATCACTGGATATTTGAGATTGTGATTTATATAAAAAGAAAACCGTACTTTTAGAAATTGATCGGAACTTTTTCAATGGAATGGGTAGATAGGCACATGGGTAGAGGGACAGGTGGATATAATCTGCTTCCTTTTCAGTAGCCTTTAGACAGTGTTCCATTCTAAAGGCTGGTGAAAAATCAGTCACTGCCGCTAGGGTGTGCGGGAGGGCTCAGGTGGTTGGGGACAGGAAGTGGTCAGGAATTCGGCCTTGAGACGGCAGCCAGAGGGCAAGGCAAACATGTTCTTCTCAGGATGAAGTGTCAAAACAGATTCTCAAGGGATGAGAGTTTGGACCTGTGTTGTTAAGGATCTTTCGGTGTGATATGGAAGAAGGAGTTCACAGTGAAATCTTGAAATTGCTGATTTGTCAGAAGTTTCCCGTGGCGAAGGCAGAGTCCAGCAGCCATGTGCAGAGCAAGGGTCATGTTACAGATTGTCCACGCCAATGGCAAATGTAGAGACCAACAATTTAAGTGGCACGTGTGACCTAAAGGGCTCGGAGTCATTGTCGATCCTGTTCTCAGGAAATCAGTCCAGTGTTTTTTGCTGAAGTCTAAAGGAGCAGTAAAACTGTTGCATAGGCTGGGTGCATTGGGTCGTGCTTGTATGGGAGGCCGAGGCTGGAGGATTGCTTTGAGACCAGCCTGAGCAACTGAGTGAGACCCCGTCTATACAAAATTATTATTTTTTTTAAATTAGCTGGTCATGGTGGTATATGCCTGTGGTCCCAGTGATGATTGGGCCACTGCACTGCAGCCTGGGTGACAGAGTGGGCCCCTGTCTCTTTAAAAAAAAAATTGTTGTATAGTATTAAGAGAAACAGCAACAAAATGGAAAGCTGTATTTATGCAAAACCGTGATATGTCGAGTGTACTAGATTTTGAAATAGTGATGTCAAAGGACTGCCTTTTAACACCAGAGAGAAGTTTTGGGCTAACTCAAAGTACTGTTTGACCCAGAAGATTACAGATTTATGAGGTCTATTATCCTTAGACTCAGTGGTTCTCAGCTGGGGTGGGTGACTTGGCCCTGCAGGGCACATTTTGGCAGTGTCAGGAGACATTTTGGGCTGTCACGTTGGGCGGTGCTGGCTGGGGCACTTGCTGCTGGCGCCTGGAGAGCAGGGGCCGGGAGGCTGCCAGCCACTCTGCAGTGTTCCCCATGGCCAGGAATCATCTGGGCCAGCACGTCAGTAACGCCGAGGCTGAGAAACGCTGCCCCGGGAGAATAAGGAGGACGCGTTAATAGACTCAAGAGGGATCAGGTAGAACCACTGATAGTTTCAGAGAGCCAGGGATGGAGCTAACCCTGCGGTGAATGTTGGGAGAACAGCGTGGTGGGCATGTGGGATCCTGCTGGTGACAACTCTAGACCTCCTGGACTCGCCAGCCCTGTGTTCCACATATCCTGCTTGTCCCTTTGTCTCAGAGAAGATGTTGAGCAAGACAAAGGACATTTGTTGTTCTGTATGGAGGAACTCTCATTTTAACTGTCCTCCTTCCCATCCGGAGAGAGCATCGTGGTGATGCTGGGGCCCTGAATGGCGTAAGGGGCTCGTTGTGAGTGTTGGAATGAATCCCGAGTGACACAGTCGGGATTAAGGGACCTGGGAGAGGGCATCTGGAAACCTGAGCTTCTAGAATGCTAATGGTTCCTGTTATCTTTCAGGTGGTGAATGTGTCCAGGCTGGAGGGAGATGACAATCCCGTGCAGCTCATCTACTTTGTGGAGGATCAGGATGGAGAGAGACTCAGCGCCGTCAAGTCTTCAGATCTGATCAACAGGATCGATCTCCAGAGAGCGGCCATCATCTTGGGTTACCGGATTCAGGGCGCTATTGCCCAGCGTAAGTCCGTGGTCTGGGCGTTGCTGCTCCAGGACGGTTTGTCCTGACAGTGAGCTCTCAATTTAACTCGCTCTGATGTGTGTATAGCCCTTGTTATGGAGTGGCACTTACATAAAGATGCCAGGTGTTAAAATCCATTCGCCAAGACCTTCTTTATGGTGGATTTCAATCACTTGGAGTTGTCGCCTGCGCTGTTTTTCCCGTCTCGCATTTTGTGTTTGTGGTGTTGCAGCGATTTATAGTGCCTTACATCAACGTTAACATCTATCCCCACGCCTGTGCTGTTTCTCTCTGTGGAAATTTTGTCCTAGGTAAAATAATGTGTTTGCTCTGTATTTCTTCCAAAACCTTCTGTGTCATATGTTGAACGTTGGTGGGGACAGTGAGTCACGCAGGAAGCTGGGAGGTGCGCTCTGGATTTATTGGCTTCCTTCAGGGCCTTTTAGCACAAAGAGGTCCTTGATCCTTACCCTTTTCAATCCTCTTTACCCCCACCCAGTCCTCACACCAATCCACAATTCAGAAAGAGATATTTTGGTGTTTCTTTATTATTGTTGGAAGGTCTTGGCTCCTGCCTGCCCGGCAGTGCCTGCTCCCGGTACCTACTCTTCCAGCTCAGATTTTGGTTATTTAAAATCAAGAAAAAGGAGAGGCATGGAAGAGTGTATTTCTCTAAATATACCTTTATGAGTAAGACTGCTATTTTAATGTGGACGTTTTTCCTTTATGATCCAGAGAGTTGTCCTTGTAAGAGCACATCGAAACTTGCTCCCAATAAGAAATACATGCTTAGAAGGAATTCAGCATCAGAGAATATTGAAAAACCCTTTACAGAGAACATGTAGGAGACAAAAGCAGTTTTTAAAGAATGACAGCTTTGAAATTATCCTCGGTAGTGGAAGGTTCTTCATGAAATTGATCCTTGTCTCTGGAGGCTAGCCAGGATGAGGCTGATAGACACACTTTTTGTCTGTTTTATGGAAGATGATGGGAGAGTTTAAGCAAATAACCATCAGCAGTTTGTGTTATGTATTTGAGATGTGCCTGCATATTAGTGTGTTCTCTTCCAAAGCAGTGAGAAAAAAAGTTAACAAGAGCATTTCCTTACATTTCCTCATTTGTGACATTTCTGATTGCTGGAGAGGTGGTCTGCTCTAGCCACACACTTGATGGTTTAAAAAAGGTTAATTGCAACCAAATATGGGCACCTTTCAAACCTATTTCCATCTGGTCTTGCACCTCTCTTTCCCCAGTTTTGTACTAGAAAACCACATGGGAACAATCGTAGAATTCTGGGGTTAGCAGTAGGAGGAGTCTCCTCCAGCACCAGGACCAGCCCAAGAGCAGCCCTGAGGACCCGGGTGTCAGGGCCTGGTTTGATCGATCTTTCCCTCTCCAGGGTTTTACTGGGTTAGAACTAAGAAGTGTCCAGTTGTCTCAGATCTTTGGTTTGATTCTGTCACTACTTCTATATTGTCAATTGTTTCTATGCAAAATGAGCTACATATATAAAATATATTCAGGCCAAATTAAAAAATACAAATTTTTAGCACTTTGCCACTTTTTGCCATGTCCCATGCAGTCTTTGCTCTAATTTGTGCTTTTGCTTTAGAATGCATGCTTTCTCCCTTGTCACTCTCGGGGGTCTAAACCCAAATTTAAACCAGCACCAAGTATCTGTTTTGTTGTTCTGTCTTCGAGCAGATGGGTTCTGATCCCATAGCAGGTATTCACCATCACAACATACAAAGGGAGCGAAAGGCATTTTAGTCCCTGCACGTGACAACTAAGGTGTATTTCAAAAGCCAAGGCTTTGGCGTCGTGACCAGATTAATGAGCAAAGCAGTGTAGTGTGTATCAAGATGATCCATTTATGTAATAAGAGGCATTTTAAAAGAGTAATAAGGTGCCGTTTGCAAAACAAAGACAATAAGAACAAAAGGCTGACTTAGACAAGGAAGAAATTGGCGTTGTCATGGGGAAGTTTTTATGAAGTGGCCTGAATGGCTGAGTTAGAGGGGGGTGGCGCTGGGGTGACTGGAGCCTGAGTGGGAGAAGCCCGTGAGCCTTTAGGGGAGGGAGTGGGGAGAGATGAGCACAGACAGAGGACGAGGGAGGGTGGGGGGAGGAGAAGCCAGTGGAGGACGCTGGGAAGGAGCTGAAGCTTGATGCTCTAAGGCCATGAGAGGCGAGGGGCCCACAGGGTGGAAAGGGCATGGGGGGGAGGGGAAGGGATTCAAAATGAATAAGATTTGCTTTCATGTCATTTAAAATTTGACAACCAGTCTCTTAAATCAGTTTCGATGCAGGGCCACGTGTCAGGTTCAGGAAGGGACCCAGGTCGGGAGATGGAGGCAGTGGCCTACAGGCCACTTATTAGGACTGCAGGGTCCAATTTAATACCGTCAAGCTCCATGTAGAAAAACTTAAGGTTCATCATTTTTTTTATTGTGGCAAAATTTTTATCATATGAAATTTTACCATTTTAACCACTTTTAAGTTACCGTTCAGTGCCATTAAGTACATTCACGATGTTGCGTCCACTACTGCTGTCCATTAAATAGTAACGCTCATTCCCCTCACCCATCCCCTGGCAACCACTGTTCTTTCTTTGAGTGTTTCCCTAGATACTTCACATAGGTGGAATCACACATTCGTCCTTTTGTGACTGGTTTATTTCACTTAGCGTAATGTTTTCAAGGTCCGTCCATGTGGTAACTTGTATAGAATTTCCTTCCTTTTAAAGCTGAATGACATTCTGTTGTAAGGATGTACCACAGTTTGTTTATTCATCTGTTGATGGAACATTTGGGTTGTTTTCATCTTTAGTGGCTATTCATGCAATGAACGTTGGCATCTTTATCATTCTTTTAGGTGCTAGAGTGGAAATAACCAATTGCATTTGTGCTCTTGTTGTATCTCCTCACTGTTTTGCTCTGTATAGAGCACTAGTGTTATCTAAAATTGTTTAGTGGTTCATTTACTTCATAATTTTCCCTTTCCCCCACTAGAACCTAGGCTCCTTGAGGGACTCTGCTTGTTCATTGTTGGGTCCCAACTTTAGGACTGTGTCTGGCACACTTAAACACTTGCGAGCCAGAGAAACTGAATAGTGAGGGAAGGGCGGAAGAGCAGAGGGTTTCTCCCACAAACCTAGTTCAGACTCGTGTACTCTCATGCAGTTGGGAAGGGCACGGTTCTTGTTGACGTCATGCAATGGTTGGGACTATGCTCTGGAGGAGTAGCTGCTTTTCCCTTCACTTTTCAAGAGAGCCTCTTTTGTACAAAGTTGTACAGAACCATTTTTGGTATGGAAACATCCTGCAGTGGGAATATAGGGCTGGTGTAGGACGATGTGCTGGAAGTGAGGAGACCTGGAATTAACCTGGCTTTGCCATTACATTAGCCACCTGTCTTAAGATACATCACATCTGTCATTGTGACCCCTGTTGTAACTTGATGTAACATTGTATGTTGTGTTTGTTTGCTTGGTCATGTTTCCTGTATCAGAAGATTATACCTGTAACCAACCGGTTGGCTGGAGCTGAAATATCAGGGCTTTCCAAGTTTTTCATAGGAGAAGACAAATGCAGCTCAGTAAATGAGTTGAGAAGGAATTACTGAAAGACCTTTCTTCCTTCCCCGCAGCTGTGGACAGGGTGAGGAGGCCGTCTCCCGAGTCCCAGAGCAACAACCTGTGGGTCATTGTCGGTGTGGTCATCCCGGTGCTGGTGGTGACGGTGATCGTCATCATCCTCTACTGGAAACTCTGCCGCACGGACAAGCTGGACTTCCAGCCTGACACTGTGGCCAACATCCAGCAGCGTCAGAAGGTAAGGGGCAACTCCCGCAGTGTTCCCCTGGCCAGTCTTGCGGGGCAGGGATGGAATGGGTTTGGGCTGTTAAGGAAATCCTCTGGCTTTAATGGTGGTGTCCCTTTGCCTTCATATCTGCCTTCTGAAACCCCACTTCTTCTGTAGTAGTAAATATAGTCCAAGAACATGAAGCTGTGTAGAAGCTTAGATGTGATATGAGTTCCAGGGTTCTCCTGTGATTTTATTTTGGGTCAGTTGGAAGATCACATCCATTCTGTGTATGAAATCTGATCTGTTTTACCCCTGGATATTTTCAGAGAACAAGAGCCAAGGGAGGTTTCCTCAGATCTGTGGATCTGCCTCTTTCTTACGCAACTCCATTAGACAGCTCCTTTATTTCTGTCCACCACACTGGACGCCTACTTATCCACCCTGATGAAGGCAACTTCATCATTAAAAACTGGCAACACCTGCCTTAAGCATTGTAACTTCAAGTAAATGAATGGATGTTTATTTGCCAATCTTTTGATGTATCCTGAGTCATCTTTTATTTTGTTTTGAGTGTTGGTCTACTGAGCGGAATTGCATATGGTCTTTCTTGTGATAAACAACACCCAAAACGTACCGGCTGCAGTTTCCAGTTTGGGTTTCTTTAGGAAAGAGCAAAACCATCTGAGTGCAAAATCCTCTAGATCTTTTCAGTACCTCCCCTCCGCCGACTCTGCAGACTTTTTGAGTTAATTCGCCTACACCTAATTTAACAGCAGATTTTTTTTTAGCAGCCCATCTTTCATCTGTCTTTCCAAAGCATTCAACTTAGTTTTTATAGAAACAGCCATTCTCTTTTCACACGTGTGATTCAGCAGTTTCCATAATATTTTTTGACTGTTACATCAGGTTTCAGAGCACGGAAACTGACTTTTGGTCAGCATCTAGCTCACCTGGTGTGAGCAAAAACGTGTCAGAGGACCAGAGGGAACTCGCTGGCTGCAGACAGCACAGGGTAGATGTCAGTGTGTTTACCAAAGGAGTGGAAAGTGGTCTTCAGTCTAGTGTATTTATTAACATGTACCCTCTGTGGCTCTTACAAATTTAGAGGACCGGCTCTGCTCTAAAAGTTTGATAAGAACAAGCAAGCAAAGGCAAAAGAACAAGGAGTAAAGGATTGCCCTGTTAACCTTTTAATTTTATTCTCATTGTCTTGGTATCAAAAATATTGCATATTATAAACCTAGACCTGTTGAATGAAAAAAATAGGTAACATTTAAAAATTTATTTTACTTTTGTAAAAGTAAATGAAGAGTATTTTTTCTTATGAATTAACCAAGAAATGTAAAATCTTGATTAAGTTGCAGGCATATAGCTATCAACTATATTAGAGGCATTTTATACATGAATATTATATTTGTTACCTGTCTTTATTAATTATTTACATGGTCTGCTAAGGTTGTTTTGTAGTTGCTATACTAGTGAATGGCATGGAAAAACTTGGAGAAAAGCACTTGATATATACTAAATGATTCATAGTGTGAATTTCATTGTAATAAGATCAACAATGGGTTTGGAAATGTTTTTGTTCTGATGAAAGGGTGTTGTTACAGAGAGAGTCAACCAGTCTAGATGGCTATGTATTTATGTCTTTTATGGTCCATATTTTCTAACATAAACACTGCTTGTGGAAGTTCATCTATTATCTGTTACTTCAGTAAACTATCAAGGGACTGCATCTCTTGGGTTCAAAACAGGATATTTCCCCAAGCTTTCTCCTTCTCTCACTTCTACTTCCGAAACATTTTCACATCCCAGATGTTGCTGTCAATCAAATGGGCAGAGTTTCACATAGAACTTCCAGCCCTTGGAGCTGCTCTCTTTCCTCCAGTGCTATGAGGGGCTGTGCATACCTCTTTCAACATATTTACAGGAAAAATCTTCTGCATGGAGGACTCCCCGAAAGAATGACTGTCTCCTGACACTATTAGGAGGGCGAAACTTTGCCATTGTTGCAGCAGCTTGGTCTTTCTGTGCTGGCGCAGGAAGCCACTGTATAGATCCTGTGTTTGTAATAAGAAAATGATGGTCTTCATTTAGTTCAAAAACAAACATCGCTACTTCGCAAGTGTTTCTTCTAAGGTTATGTGGCCATAGAGAAGGGCCTCCAGCCTCTTCCTCAGAGTAATGTGCTGAGATGCCTTCCTCCCCGTAGCTGCAAGACTCTTTCTCCTGCGTGTGTGGCTGTCTGTTTTCTCTCTCTCAGTTCTGCTCACCCCGCCCCCGACGCCCCTCCCCACTACTCTCTGAAATCCTTTAGCAAATCCCAGAGCTGCAAACATCTGGAAACAATAAATCTGCCGACCTAAAATCCACACCCCCTCCCCCTTGTAACGAGAAGGAAACCTCTTCAGATTGTCTGGGAGTAGATTAATTTTGAAATATGATAAGAGGGAGAGGCCATTCTATCAGGTTTCGAGGCAGGGTCTTTTCTTATTTCTAATAATTGAAAGAAAAAAAAAACCCACGTATGTTCCTTTTCTGTGTATTCTCTCTAATCTGTAGTCCAAAGTCATCCTCTGTTACTCTTACCTAAAAAACTCCAGCTTGGATCCTCATCACCGTGAATGGCATTGGCTGGACGCTGCTGCCCCCAGGGAGCTTGTTCCAGTCCACACCACACCTGGCTCTTGGCACGAGCTGGTGGCTCTCAGCCACCCTCGGCTGCTCTTAAGGATGGCACGGCGGGCAGCCAGGTGGAGCTGCCTCGGACACCGAGCGTCACCCACCAAATGCCACCCACCAAACGCTGAGTGTTTGCCCTGAGCCAGGCAGGGCCAGGCTAAGTTCCAGGCACAGATAGCATGTGGTCTCTGCCTGCAAGGGCTTTAGCAGGGGAGAAGGACATCTAGGAGGGTCAGAACGTGCAGAACAGAGCTGTGGGAGCATAGAGGAGGGACAGCACCCTGCTCTTGGTGGTGGAGCAGCTCCACCTCCTAAGAGGGCTGGGGCTGAAGGTTCAAGGTGGAGGAGGTGAAGCCACAGGGTATAGGCCCAGCAGAGAGGACAGCGAGGAGCTCGGGAAGGCTGGGGCAAAGGTTGTAAGGAAGGACACAGGCGAAAACCAGGCAGCAGAGAGCTGGGCCCTGGGAGGTTTTCAGGCCATGGAAGGGATTGGACATTATACTGTAGGCAGTGGGCAGCCATTGAAGGTTTTCAGCAGGGAGAGCAGCCCGGACACACTTCTGTTTGCAGTGGTCTCCTTGGGAGGCAGAGAGTACAGTGGATTGAAGAGAGGCTCGATGAGTACTTCTTCCTTCTCAGTCAAGTCCAGCTCTCAGGATCCCCTTAGCACCCGACGTGTGGGTGGTTTCAGTTCACCCACAGCCGCTGGCCGTGCCTCGTGTGGCCTGTGGGTGAGAGAGGTCGCCCCGCCGAGCTGCGCTGAGGTCAAACAGATGGCAGAAACTTTGCCTTGTCTTCGCCTTCTAAATCGAAACAGCATGGTGGTTGCAGCGATTTTCCACAAATTACATCAATCCAATAGTAAATGCTTACAATGGCACTTCTACAGGATGGCACGTTTTTATTCAGACACTCTGGGGATCTGCTCTGTGTTTCTGTTGCCATCTTAACTGCTCCTTCCCAAGGGGGTCAGGCTAACCTGAGTCCTGGGACGTCGCTGTGTCTCCTGCCATCTGGGCCTTATTATATTTACGGCCCACGTGTTAACATCCATCAGGCGTCTCCCTCGTCCCTTGGCCGACCTGCCCCACCAGCCTCCCTGACTTGCCGGCGGCGTGTTCCAGTGGGGCACAGTGTCGCCTGTCCCTTCTGTGATAGATTAGAGAAAGAAAGAACAAAAGAGCCATCCTTCTTCAGAAATAACTCGGTCCTAATATGAATATTGAAGACTCTCATTCATCTTGGCTCTTCTGGAATACTGATGGAAGCCTGTTCTGCATGTGGAAACTGGAGACTCGATACCAGCCAGACTTCACTCTAGATTTTATTTTAAAAGAAGTGGAAAAACGAGAAAAAGTGGTCGAGAAAATCGGTATGGAACAAAAGGAGCTAATTCCATAATTGGGGTGGGGGAAGAGCAATGCTTCCTTTAATTTTTTCCTTCTGTGTATAGCTGGCTTTTGTTTTGTGCATAAACGCAGGTTAGTTGCCAAATTTCCATTGTTAAAGAAGGTGATGACTCACCCAGCCAGGGAGACGTGCAAGGATCTAATGGATGTGTCTAATGATGCTAGTCGGAATCAACAATAAGCCAAAAGGACTTGTGTATTTCATTTGTGACATACATACCCTTTCCTTGGCTCCCCATAAAATCCAGTAAGTTTGGTACTTGGGCTGACCTTTTTGAAATTCATTCAGTCGTGAGATATTTATTGAGGGTCTACCATGTGTCACATCCTGTTGTTGACTTACAAAATGCTGTATCTAAATTCGTATTTATAGCTATGTCTGATGCTCGAGGACCCTTAGCTATTTATATTAACTGCTTGACATTTTGTCAACCAGCAGCAATAATAATGCTGCCAATCTCATTTGTACGGTACTTTGGCATTTATGAAGCATTTTCACATATATATTATCATGTGTGTTTCTTACATGAACCCTGAGAGTTTTGTCAGGGAAGGCATTTAGTGCCTGGACTTGGGCTAGGCAGACTGCGCTAGAGTGGCAGTGATGCTTGTATTTTTACGTTGTTCACTCTGGAGACCTGTGCTTAGAGGCGGCCATCTGTAGCTCCTTCTTCAGTTTTGTTAGAGCAAACCACCTAACTTGTAAATGAGATTCTTGCCCAGTCATCAGAAGCATTTACTTTCTTACTGGGAAATATACCAAAAAGGATTTTAGCAAGATTTCTTAAATGATGGTGGTGATGATTAAATGACTGTTGATTACGTCCATTAGTCTTTCACTTAGAGGCACTTTGTTTATGGGGCTGAAATGAGGTGCAGCTGGGGTCAAAGCAACCCCACACAATTGGAAATTGCTCATTTTAGGGTTTTTATTGTCAGCTGTGAATATTTGGTGTCCAATTTGAATTTTCTCTGCCCTCTTAAAAAACAGATGGGCACTTGAGAATTATGTAGCTGGATTAGTAATTGCATTGCAAGATGAAAATAATATTTATAATTATGTTTTTCATAAATTAGGACAGCATACCAAAGTCTGAAAGAGAGGACTCCACCCTAATCACACAGTGTAGGTTTTTTAAGGTTCAGGAGTTACCTCCTAACTGGCCTAATTTTTCCTCTGCCTGTACATACATAGATGCTTTGCTTTTAAGAGTGTGGGTGAGTCTTTGTGGAAATTTATAACAAAAGAGGAAAAAATATTGGGCTTGTAAGTATAGGGTTTATGAAAGGCACATTGCTGATTGCTGGTAAGTACGTTATTTTTGGTAGAACCCAAACATTATGCTGTGTGGTTAATCTAAATCTAGTAAGTACTTGGGGATAACAAATGAACAAGCATAGCAAGGGTTACATGGGCCAGTGAGCTAGAGACTTGCATTCAAGTGACCCAGACACAGACTTGCCGTATCCAATAATTGTTTGAAATAGGTTAATGAAAATATGCTGCAAGTCTGAGTAAATGTTCAAGAGAGTATATAATAGCCGTGGTGTCAGCCTAGCTCACAGCAACCTGAAACTCCTGGGCTCAAGTGATCCTTCTGCCTCAGCCTCCCAAGTAGCTGGGACTACAGACATGTGCCACCATGCCCGGCTAATTTTTTCTATATATTTTTTTTAGTTGTCCAGATAATTTTCTTTCTATTTTTAGTAGAGATGGGATCTTGTTCTTGCTCAGGCTGGTCTCAAAAAGCGATCCTCCCACCTTGGCCTCCCAGAGTGCTAGGATTACAGGCGTGAGCCACCATGCCTGTCCCGCAAAATACAGTTTTGAGACCCAGACTGAGACCTGGTGAACAAGGGAGCTTGCCACACCCTTTCATTCTGAGAACGACAAACTGCTGTACTTCTTGGCACACTGGTGTTTTCCAGCATACTGTCGAACAGCTCTTGGACCTTCCACTCCAAAGACAGATAAGCACAGAGCCTTGTCACAAGCTTAGCCCTGCATGGCGTGACGAGGTTCCTTCTGGATTTCTCCCTGTCGAACTCTTCGCTTTGTTCTCGGCGGACTTTCCTGCGGGGCGCAGTGTTCTCTGGTGGTTGGGAGATGGTAGGGGTGAGGCTGGCAAATAAAAACATCACTGCCGCTGCTGTCCCCTCCACAGAGTACCTGGATTCACGTCGTCCCCACAGGGGCTGGGTTACCCTGTTTCTTGGCCACATTTCTCCCTTTTTTCTTTAAGGGTGAAAGAAAGGAAGCCACACGGCAAGTTTATTGTGCCTTGATTAAGGGGGTCTGCCAAGACCAGCATTTTGAATTATCTTTTTACTTGATCCCTGGAGATTTCTGCACCTGTAGACAGAGTGCTTCAGGAGGCTGCTGCGTGGTGAGAGGAGGTGGGCCTCTCCTCTGTAAAGTGGCAGCAGGACCGTTAGCAAGGGGAAGGTAGGAGGGGAGCCAGCAGGCTGCCCAGTCGGCAGGCGCATGCTCCGCTCCGCTCCCAGGGAAATCTGTCGTAGGCAAGAGCGTGTCTAGAGGTGCATCTGGCATTTGATCCCCTTAGAAAGACTGCCCACTCCTAGGAAAGTGTGTCTGTCCCCAGGGCTTCCAGTAGACCAGTTGAAGCTCACTGTGCTGGTCCACATCTGGGATGAGAAACTTATGCTGGGGGCATGGGGGAAGGCCATGGAGCGGCAGGTTTGGGTTCATCATTTGCAGAACAGTGTCCCCAAGCTCACAAACAGCCCAAGTGCTGGGGCAGCCTGCTCCTGCAACGTGAGCTAGCGGGAGCTCATTGATCAGAAAATATAGGCACTGTCAGTCTTTTGTTTCCAAGCAACATTTTGTAAACTGTATTTATGGTAAGTTTTGTCTCCCTCTGCTGGCGTAAATCTTTATTACGGACTGCTTTCCTTCTACCCATTGATCCTAGTTTTTTAATGTTAAAAAGCCTTGGGCCACCAACCTAAGCCACTGGTGTTGCCACTCACTTGTGCATAAAGTTCTCACAAATATGACCAAACCTTTTGCTTCTGTGCATAGTATATTGTCTGAAATCACTCCTGTCTGTTTGGCCTTTGTCTTGTGCGGGATAGGACTCTGGGTGTGGATACAGCCTGGGGGAGTGGGGGGGGGGGCTTTGGTCTGCGTGCGGCATTCCTGCTGGGGAAGCCCCGGGGACGACTGTTCCTGTGCAGTTTGTTCTCCTGTACTCTGGCAGCTCCAGTTAAGGAAGCTGTTAAGTCCCACCCCTGGCACTTTTAGTGTCATCAAAAATGTCACAAAAAATGGTGCCATACTGTCCACATTTCTGTGTACCTTCCAGTGTCCTTCCTGTCTTGCCACAGGCCCAGAAGCTGAGGCCTGGAGTCTGGTCGCAGGCTCACGGGGTCTCGATGGTGGGTTTGGTGTTGGCTGGTGTTCTGTGTCCCTGGGGACGGCTCCTGCGTCCGCCAGTGTGAGTGGGGAGCCCTTTCCTGAAGACCCTTTTCTCCTCCTGCTTTGTGCTTTGTTATGTCTACTGACCGCTCCTTTCTAGAGCTTCATTTATTCCCTTGGCTTCTATTGTATTGAACTTTCCACATTCTTCTGTTTCTTTGAAGTCATATTCTATTTTCTTCCTTGCTTGCTTTTCCTCGTCTTAGCTCCAGACTGCTAGCTGTTTCCCAGCACCACCCATAGAATCTGTATTCTTCTTGAAAATGCCAGCTCCCCTCCATGTCACCTTATGCACAGATGGCTCTCAGAGTCACCTCGCAGCCAGAACGTTCCCCCAGGCTCTGATCCTCCATCTCCAGCTACATCAAGCCACTGTCCCTTGAGGCCTTTCCTGCCATCTCAAACTAAGCAACTTTAAAATGAAACCTCTATCGTTTTATCTCCTCAAGTCATCATTCCTTCACGACTCACCCCTTTCCCTTAATGTCACTTGTACTATTCAGGATACCCTGCCTAAAATGTTCTAGTCATCAATGGCCTCTTTGTCTTCCTTTGCCTCTTGTGTCTGTTCAGCTTCTAGGTCTTTCTGCCTGATTTCTAGAGCTGTTTGTCCCTTCTCGTTTTCATTGCAAAGATTTGGGGCTCACATCTTTGTGATTTCATGCATGTGGTATTGCTAGACCCTATTACTGTTCCCTTGGTGTCCTGTCTCCTTGGATTTTAGAAATCTGTCTGTTTAGAGATATATAGTGGTTTTCTAACTGGCCAGAGGGCAAGCTCTAGGAGGTGGCATTTTTGGAGTCCTCTGTATACAGACTGGACTTCTCTCTCTTGCTCTGCTACGTTCTGACTCATCCAGCGTGGCTGATTCGATCTCTTCCCAGGCCTCGAGTGTTCTCTGGTCCCTGATACGATCCCATGGTCTTTGTAGCCTCCTCTTCCTATTTCCAAGTCATGTCTGTCCTTAAGCCCCAGCTCAAGTCCCCATTTCCCTGTAAAGAATATCTTGTCCCCGCTGCTGTCTCTGGACTTGCATGGCACGTGGCATGCTACTGTGACAAAGGGTCAGGTGTTGTCTCGGAATGTCTTTTGTATTATGTCCGGCTGTTTAATCCTTGTACTCTTCTTGAGTCTTTCACAGTGTCTGTCTTCTCCCCAAACTCTAGGGGTAAGCAGAACCTCGCACACAGTCGCCGTTTTAGAGCTGCTTGTTGACTTGAGCTGGTGGAATTGCCGGTACGATCTTGGGTCAGATGTGACGCGCTCCTCGTGTCACCCGATTTCGGATTAATGATCTTGCGTGTGTGTGTGTTTTAGCTGCAGATCCCTAGCGTGAAGGGCTTCGACTTTGCTAAGCAGCACCTGGGTCAGCACAATAAAGACGACATACTGATTATTCACGAGCCAGCGCCACTGCCAGGACCCGTGAAGGACCACACCACGCCCTCTGAAAACGGGGACGTGCCAAGCCCCAAGGCGAAGATCCCTTCCAAGAACGTCCGTCACAGAGGAAGGTTATTGTCCAGCTTTCTGTGTCCTTCTCTGTTGCGGAGCATGTTTCTGTTTTCAGGTTGTCAGTTTTTCTGTCAGAAGGGCGGCGTCTGCAGCCTCGGAGACTGATGACTTGCCCAAAGTTGCGCATGCACCCGCTCTAACGGGCTGCCGAGGGAGGCCGTGTGAGTTTTTTGCCTCCAAGTGATTAAGACCATGAATCACTGTGATGGGTTGACGGTCCCCTCAGCCCTGATCAGCGATCAGCCAGCTCAAGGGTACATGTCCTGGGGGGAGCGTGCTGGGCCCCGTGGAGATCATGTCAGAAGCAGTGTAGGAGAAGTGCATGGCGCTCGGGGCACACTCAGCCAGTACGGGCTCTTTGCCCTTGCCTGTGATGCCAGTGGAGGGCTGAGACTTCAGGGCTTTCTCTGCAGGTGACCTTCACTGAGTCCTCCTGCTGCCCACGTTGTCACCTGTGCTGGCATATTGCAGGGACTCTTTGCCGCCTCCTCCCTGCCTCGCTCCCTGGTGCCAATTTATTTCCATTCCTCTATCAAAGTAAAACACAAGGAGAATTGCTTATTAATTCTCCAAGCTACCCAGAAGTCCCTTGTCGCCCTCTGATCCCATGAGAAGGGCTGCGGCTGTGTTAAAGAGGACACAGTTCAGAAGCAGGGTCTGTTAAGTCGACTTTAGATCAAGGTACCATCGGGCGTGGGCTACTGGGCCTCACGTCGTCAGCCTGCCTTTGAGCTTTGGAACTCTAAATCCTGATTTTTATGCTAGGAGCAAAAAAGTGTGTGATCCTAACAGTGTTTGAAACGACGTCATGGTTTCTATCTTAATCAGAAAACCTACCTCAGGGGTTCCAGCCTCGTTTTAAGAATTTAATGGATGTTAGAGCACTATCTCTACAAAAGAAAGTGAGTTATGTAGAGAGATGCTATTTGCTTAATTATCTTGCAGGCTAAGAATAAATTGAATCATTAAAGATTATTTAATACCCTAGTAAAATTTTATAAAGTGCTTTTTGTCTTGCCTGGTGGCCTCATCATAAGTCTAGCCATGACATTTCAGTGGTCTGCATGGCAAACATACAATGCTTTATATCCCTTGGGGGCACCAGAATGTCTTGGTGTTTCACGTTGCCATTGAAGCCAAGGAGCCCCAGGAGGTGGGGTGCTAACTGGTTACGGATTTTCCCTAGCCTGGTGCAGGCTGGGTGCTGTGATACCCTTGCTTTTAATATATAGACGCAAATCTCAGTAGTGGTCATTGCTTAAGTGTTCTAAGTGTAGGTGCCTTTCAAAGATCTGGAGTTATTTGTAGTGAGTACAGTACTACCCTAGCCTCTCAGGGATTCTGCAGACCCAGTTAACGCTGAACCAGGCCTGAAGCCCAAGTCCTCTTTGATCCAACTCATGCTAGACCCAGACTGTCAGTCTGGAAATGACCAGGAGCCAGGAGCTGGGCCTTGGGTCCTGGTAGCTTCGGGACCGTGTTCCAGTCTGGCAGTTAGTTTTCCAGCATCTGTTCGAATGCAGCCTGCTGAGCCACTTAGTGAGCCGCGCTAATTCGTCTTCAGGAGGTGACTGTGCGGTATTAACGTGATCCCTGAAGATGCTGTGCCGTGTAATAATTTTTTGGACTGTTTCGTTTCTACTCGTTTTGCCCAGAAGCCTGACTTCCATATCCAAGTTAATGCGCCCCTTTTCTTTTTGTTCTTCCTTGTTCCTAATGTTTGCAATTTATCTTGTGTCTGCAGAGTCTCTCCCTCAGATGCTGACTCGACAGTCAGCGAGGAGTCCAGCGAGAGAGACGTGGGAGACAGGACGCCGGGAGCGGTCAGCGACGGCAAGTCCCGCAGAGCCCCGCAGAGCGGTCTGTGACTCTGCTCGTTCTCCGCCTTGCGCGTAGTCGCTGTGGGAGTCCAGCAGGCTAGGGTTTTACCCCGCTTCTAATGCTGAAAGTAAAGGCTTAAAAAAAGAATCTGCAAAATGAGATATTCATCATTCGTATGGTGAATTTCCCAGCATGAGTGGTCACCGTCTCACATTGTATTGGTGTCTGCCTTGAGGCAAGGGACTGGTGCCAGAGCTTAGGGACTCACTGAGTGTGTTTTAAGGTTAATAACCTCCCTTCATCATAGTTAGGGTCCTGACCAATTTTCCTGCCCCAAAGTCAAGGAGGAATCGCAGTGAAACCATAGTCTCAAAAATTGACCCAGGATTCAGTGACTTTCTTAGGAACATCTCAAGGATTCCACAGCCTTCATGCCCATTATGTTTAGTCCTATTCCTAGATCTTTCTTCCAGAAGGTAGTTTAATGTGATCAGATGGTTTAGCATATTTGCACTGGGGGTCACGTATAGCTTCGTAGCCAGGTATGAAATGAACCTCGCTGCCTTTCTAAAGAGTTACGACCATGAGACTGGTGCACCATAAGAAAACTATGCCCACAGGTCTAAAAAGACTTGGGAATATTTTTTTGCATGCTGGCAAGGTCCCTTGGTTTTAGTTTAATAGATTCTATTAAATAAATGTGCTAGTATGGCTGTTGTCTTTATGGGACCTTTATTAGATTTTAGGACTGTGTTTCAGTAATGCAGAGATAATTGGGAAGTCTCAGGATATTATTTTTAATAGTAATTTTTATCCTTAACATTTTTTAATGACGAATGTCTCTGTATTAAAATGCAGTGCAGAGTGAACTGTATTCTATAAATGAGCAGATTCTGGACAGAAGCCCAAGGGCCTCTTCTGTCACTGACATACTTGTGGCCTTGCAAGTCCCTTAGCCTTCAAGGCTCCCGTGGGACTAAACTACCTCATCCTTGAGATTCCTTCCAGCTCCTTTCAGGTGGTTCTTCTATAATGTTAAAAGGTACCCCCTTAGAATAAAAGAAGAGTTTTTTTTCTTTGGTTCCTGTTCACAGAATTTTAAAAATTATTTAACACCATGGTAACAGGTGCACTATTTCAGATAGACAGGATTAAAATCTGGTTTTGGTCCTGGGAAAGAAATATTCGAAAATGAAAAAAGAGCTCTAGATTTTCTCAATTTCTGTTCATTGCTTATCTGAGAAAACCCTTGCTTTTAGTGCCTGCATTGAACTCCTTCTGATAGTATTACAACCAGTATATTCTACAAGAATAACAAAAATCAAATACCACTCTCAGCATATGTTCAGAATCCGGGGATTAAGCCTTTCAGCTCAGGGACTGAGAGTGGATCAGATTCAGGGATCCAAGTGGATCAGATGTGAATACTAGGAGCTCAGGTGCTGCTATTATAATTTGAAGAGACACCAGAATCTGTGCATTATTTTCATGTTTTAGGAAGATAGTTTTCTCACTACAAATATCGATTCACTTTTAAAACTTTGTTTACTTCTTAAAAGGTGCCATAAGATAGCTTTAATGCTGCCATAAAGGTATTTTATTGCTTGCATGGAACTTAAATACCCTATAAAAAGATTCTGAGTTTTTATCATAGCTTTTGGTTTATTTTATAATTCATATAGTAATCCTTTTCTTGCAAATTGTAATGAAGTGACTTGAATAATGGAGGCAGAAAGTGGCTTGAGAACCATTCTGGAACCTTCTTCCATGTTGCCCTGGGACCACTGCTGCAGGTAGCACAGCCACCAGCTCTATTTAGGCTCCTTGGCAAGGCTCTCTTTCTTTTTTTTGAACCAGGGTCTCACTCTGTTATCCAGACTGGAGTACAGTGGCAAGATCATAGTTCACTGCAGCCTCGAACTGGTCTCAAGCCATCCTCCCGACTCAGCCTCCCAAGTAGCTGGGACTACAGGCATGAGCCACCATGCTGGCCTTGGCAAGGCTTTTGACAGCCATTGCAAGTTGTCTGGTATTTTAAAGATCCGCCTTGCAATGGAAGCTGAATAAAGACCATTGTTTCAGTTTTGGTAAATTCAGAGTTGTGCTTTATTCTTTTCCCGGCTGACTGTTTTTCAGAAGGTGACTAGACCATGATGCATGACTTTACAAGCATCTGTGGACCCTTAAGAGATTATTCATTCAGATATCACTATGTTCACAGTTATTGCAGCTTTAAGATAAGTCACATCATTATAACTGGTTACCCTTACTGAAGATGTGCTGGGAGAGATGAGATGGAAAGTGACAGTATTGCTGGGCTACCATTGCTGTGTCCATGTACAAATTACAGAGGAGCTCTCTCTCCTCTTTTTTTTTTTTTTTTTTTTTTTTTTTGAGACAGAGTCTCACTTTGTTGCCTAGGCTAGAGTGAGTGCCGTGGCGTCAGCCTAGCTCACAGCAACCTCAAACTCCTGGGCTCAAGCGATCCTTCTGTCTCAGCCTCCCAAGTAGCTGGGACTACAGGCATGCGCCACCATGCCCGGCTAATTTTTTCTATATATATTAGTTGGCCAATTAGTTTCTTTCTATTTATAGTAGAGACGGGGTCTCGCTCTTGCTCAGGCTGGTTTCGAACTCCCGACCTCGAGCAATCCACCCGCCTCGGCCTCCCAGAGAGCTAGGATTACAGGCGTGAGCCACCGCGCCCGGCCTCTCTCTCCTCTTTATCAGTATCTCAAGTGTTCTTTTTTTGTGGTGAGAAATACCAAATAGGTAAGGATTGTAAAATGCAGAGTATTTTTTATACTTTTTAAGTAGTTAGACCTTCATTAATCTGAAATTCACCATTCTAAATTTTAGAATTTCATGTGGTCACTAAGGCGACATTTACTTTTGTATATGCTAAAGAATTTGCAAAGCAAATTAATAGTTTAAATGAGATTGACTCCATATCATTACAAAGTTTTAAAAGTAATTTTGGAGTTCCCATTTATAAAATGATTAAGATCATAAAGTATACTTCTCATCATTTCATTAAGGTGTTTGTTGTTTATTGCCTTAGTCAACCTCTACGTCTTCCAGGTGGTCATTAAATATGAAATGTCCGATTTCAGATTAAAAGTGTAGTTTATTATATTTCAAACAAGAAGCAGTACATTTAATCAAAGTATGCACCTGAAGTAGGAACACAGTTTTGCCATCTTAGCTTGTTTATGCCGGCAGTGAAGAAACCAGGAGAGCAAGTGGTGGGAATCACGAAAGGTGTTTTTTCACAGCTTGTTGAAAATTGAATATTTTTCCTGGCAAGAAGTGGTCCAAAGCCTGGAAGGAGTGGTAGTCAGTTTGGTGTAAGGTCTGGTAATATGGTGGATGACAGAGAGTTTCCAAGTCCAGCCTCTGTAATTTGAGCAGCATTGTTTGTGTGACATGTGGTCAAACGTCTTACAAGAGGATTGGCCTGTCTCTGTTGACCAACATGAGCTGCTTAATCATAAGAATCCTCGTCATGTTGTCCAATTAGTTGCAGTAGACATCTGCTGTAATCAACTGACCAGGTTCCATGAAGCCGTGGTGAATAATACCAGTGCTGGACCACCAAACAGACGCCATAAGCTTTTTTTGGTGAATGTTTAGTTTTAGACTGTGTTTTGGCACTTCATCTTTACCCAACCATTGTGTTGAATGCTTGCAGTTGTCAAAAAGAATCCATTTTTCATCACACGTAACAATTTGGTGTAGAAATGGTTCTCCTTTATGTTGTGCCAGCAAAGAAAGGCAAGCTTCGAAATGATTTCTTTTCTGATGCTCATGTAATTCATGTGGAACCCATCTATCCAGCTTCTTTACCTTGCCCTTTTGTTTCAAATGGTCCAATATAGTTGGAATAGTAATGTCAAACCTTGCTGCTAATTCACGTGTAGGTTGAGACGGATTCGCTTCCATTATAGCTTTCAGCTCATCATTATTCACCTTGATCTCAAGGTTGCCCGTGGCTTCATGGCACACTTTCAAGATTAAAATCACCAGAATGGAACTTCTCAAAACATCAGCGTACTATGCGTTCATTAGTCACATCCTTCCCAAACACTATTTCAAGCTGTCTGTGCTGCATTGGTTACATGATGGAACTCATATTTGAAAATAATGTGAATTTTTGACTTACCCATGATCTCACAAAAGTTGCTCTAAAAAAAAAAAAATTGAAAGATAATCACAAGCCAAAAGGTGCATTTGGAAGACTGAGGATGTACCTTCACAATAAAAGTAAAAACAAGAAGTGTCAAAGTGAAATGTCAGAAATATCAGCTGTCAAACTTACGACTTAAGGAAATCGGACATGTCATTCTTAATAACCTAAAGATTTCAGGGCCTCATCACAGTAAACTTGCATAAACTTACGGTGACTGTAGGCATTGCGTCATCCATTTGGCAAGTGCTTCCTAAGTGCCTGTGATGTGTTAGTTGCTGGGGATGCAATGAAGATAAGATAGATATGATTGCTGCCTCATAGGATACTAATGTGGTCACTTACATTAGTAAAGGTGTGACTATATTTGCCTATAGATAATGAAATAATATTTCTTTGAAAATGTCTTGTTGCATTGGTATTTCAGTAATTCAAACTGACTTTTCTTCTGTCATTCTGCTTTGTTGACATTGTCCTATCCTATCTAGTATAATTTTTCTTTTTTTTTTGCTTAAGGAGCAGAAATTTATTTTTTTCTTTCTTCAGTTTTTATTTTAATCAGTAGGTAAAATTGTATATATTTATGGTATATAACGTGATGTGGTTTTGCTTTTATTATTTTTAATTGACACATAATTGTACATATTCAATACATGCATACAATGTGTAATGTTCAAATCAGAGTAATTAGCACATCCATCACCTCAAATATTTATCATTTGTGTTGGGAACATTTAAAATCTGCCCTTCTAGCTATTTGAAAATATACAACAAATCATTGTTAATTATTATTACCCTGTAGTGCTATGGAACGTTAGAACTTCTCTCTGGCTATGCCTTTGTATCTGTTAACCAACCTTTGGCCATTGCCCCTTCTCTCCTGCCTTCCTCCACGCCTAGTAAGCACTATTCTACTGTCTGCTTCTGTAAGATCCACTTTTTTAGCTTTCATACATGGGTGAGAACATGCAATATTTATCTTCATGCGCCTGGCTTATTTTACTTAATGTCCTTCAAGCTCATCCCTAGTGCTGCAAATGATAGGATTTCATTCTTTTTTAAGGCAAAATAGTGATGTTTTGGTAAATGAATACATCGTGGAATGGCTAAATCAAGCTATTTAACATACGAGGTCTGTCCAGAAAGTATCCAGCCATGTAATAGGAAAAACGGAGACATTTATTGAAGACAATACAAGAAACATCGTCCATAGGACAAGGGCGCCTCGGTCCCCTTCTAAGTAGGCACCTTGCGGCCTCGCACAGTTCCCCCAGCATCTCTTTCCCTAACCCGTACACGTTCAGCAGTCTCAGGGCTTCTGCTCATTGCAGGCCTTCCAGGATGTGGATCAGTTTCAAGAGATTCTTGGCCATCTTTGGAAGCGTTCGTGTCACGCTTTCATTTGTGCCGCACTCATTGCATCATCCCCGACAGCCTTCTGCATCTTCTGAATAGTTTCCACGGAGGAATGTTCAAGCTTAACACAAAATCTGATGCGGATTCATTGCTCTGCTCGCTCAGTCATTTTGCATGCCATGGCTACACAGGGCGCATGCTCACTCAGCGGCGTCTAGCGCCCCAGGGACTAGCACAGCGACGTCATCATTGATCACACATGCACAGCCCAGTCCACTCTCCTCGGCCACCAGGTTACTTCGATGCCATGCTAACTGTTCTCATTATATTAACAGTGGCTGGCCACTTTCCAGACAAACTTCTGTGCGTTACTTCGCATAGTTTTTTTTTTTTTTTTTTTTTTTTTGTGGTGAGAGCACTGCAAATCTCTCTTAGGTTATTTTCAAATATATAGTTTATTATTACCAATGTGGTTACCATGATGTACAGCAGTAGATCTCTTGACTATATAGTGTAATTTCTTATCATTACTTTTAAAAAATGATATTGGAAGAGAAAGGAGTTTTAATCCAAAGTCCCTACTTGCCTTCAGGCCGGATTCCCACAGTATTAATCTGTATGTGTCCATTGTACTTTCCACTGGTCATTAATATCTGTGCAGTTTAAAAAAAAATTGTGCATTTCATAGCAACCAAGAACAAAAAAACGTATTACAAATTTTAAAAACCCTCTTTTCAGCCATTTCAAAGGGCCGGGCTCTAGGCAGTATGGAAGCCTGAGGCTTTTCGGTACTTCTTACCTTCCCCTCCTCCACTTAGCCCCTTACAGGCCTAAGGCTGTGCGTTCCCTGCTTATCCTATTGCAATTAGTGACCAGTAAAGCAGGGATCTGTGACCGCAGTGGGGAGAGTGTGGGCTAGGAGTGTGGATAGGAGCCCAGGCACAGGCTGCTGCTCTGGTGGTTCCCGGGCAGGGCTGACAGTGCAGTGTGGAGGAGCCTTTTCTCCTCTGCCACCTTTGTCTCCCAGCAACTCAAAGCTCTCTGCCACCCTGGAGAACAAGTGATCTCTCCTTTCAGAATCAGTAGCTTAATGTGCCACCCTTTGTGGCATTTGCTGTTACTGTATAAGTTTGGTTAACAAGGCTAGCCTGTCTGGTGAGACTAATGATCTCCTTTTAGGCATTATGCCTGCAACTTGAGTGGCTGCCACCAGATGAATGGTGGTGCCTGGCTGGGCTTGCATTGCACAGTCGGGCAGGCTCCTTCTAGGCCTGGGCAGGGAAAGAAAGCTTGAGAATAGCTGGAACCCAGACAGTGTGCCTCCTTGCTAAGAGAGACGTCATTCGTTCAGTCATAAGAATAATTTCTAATGGCTTGGGTTAACAGAGCAATAATTGAGAGAACATACAAAGACTTAACACACCACTGATGGGCACTCCTTGTATGAAATATCAACTACTAATGCTTACTGCTTTGCTCAACTCTGTCTTTTTTACACTGAGGAGAAACCTCTATGGTTTTCCTTTATGCTTTTGTTTAAAAACAGCTGCTGCATGCTCTCACTCCTTGTGTTGGCCTGCTGGTCGTGTTTTAAAGCAGCACCCAGGTGACTGTGGCCGATTAGAGGGAGGGAGGGAGGGTATCAGTTGATCTTCTTAGCGTGACTAACTGGTTCTTCCCATCAGCTGAGCCTCTTTCTCTCTCTCTCTCCTTAAAGTTTATTGGGATTGTTTTTACTGTGAAAATAATGCTCATTAGAGAAAATCCCATTACAGAAAATATAAGACATAGGAGAAAAGCACCTATTATACCAAGATTCCACCTCTCTTAACATTCTTAAGTGTTTCTTTTCTGTCCTTTTTCTGCACATTTAAATGTCTTCTTTTCCACAGGCCTGATTAGTTTTTTTTTTAATTATCCTGATAAAATATACATAACATAATATTTACCATTTTAACCATTTTTTTTACATGTATTCTTCATGTCTTTTTAAAGTGGGAACTGATTCCCTGTAGGCAACACCTTTTTCTTCTTATGTGTCTTCAACTTTGTTTTCTTTTCCACATCAAAACAGAAAAGTTGGAAGTGGTGATTGTTCCCTAGTACATGCCTGTGTGTCCACAGTCCCCTTGTGTTTTGTTTTCTCAACGGTATCTCATTGCCTTGGCAACAAGTTTATATCATTCCAGTGAGCTCCCTCACAGATGATAATAGAAGTTCTGAGCTGCCGTAAATGGTTTTTCTAAAAGTTCTGTGAATTGTGTGTCGACTACTGAGCAAGTTCAGGCCCCTCATGTCCTTTAGATTTTCTTACGGAAGGTTCTGGACCATATTAAGGCAAAACAGTACAGTTTTTGAAACAGAGTGACAAAATGATTTCCTCACATCTTTTCTAAAGGTATTTGTAATTTTGAATAAAGCTGGAAGAGACAATATTTAACCCAGACCATTTAAACTCAAATAGTGACATTTCAAGTACTCTGCCACTGGAATGGAGCTGTGTTTCTGGTCAGGGTCTGATCAAGGATTCTTTAAGCAATGATCCATAATTTGGATTTTTTGCTATTTCTTTAAGGTGACTTTATATACTTATTTTTCGCTTTTCCTTCTGCTCCAGGGCCAGCACTCCCCAGCTCAGGGAACGAGCAGCATTCGTCAGCCTCCATCTTCGAGCATGTGGACAGGATTTCCCGCCCCTCGGAGGCCAGTCGGCGGGTGCCCAGTAAGATCCAGCTGATCGCCATGCAGCCCATCCCAGCACCCCCGCTTCAGCGGCCCCTGCCGGCCGACCGCGTGGCAGAAACCAACAAAATCAACAAAGAGGTATTTGTTTTCATTAAAAATACCTTCTGATTTAGTCAGTACTTGAAAATGAGTGAAAGGTACAACGTCCATGGATTACTAAAAATATGAATTACTGTCAAGAATTTTTTTTTTTGAGACAGGATCTCACTCTGTTGCCCGGGCTACAGTGCCGCGGCATCAGCCTAGTTCACAGCAACTTCAAACGTCTGGACTCAAGTAATCCTTCTGCCTCAGCCTCCCAAGTAGCTGGACTACAGGCATTTGCCACCATGCCCGGCTAATTTTTCCTATATATTTTTTTAGTTGGCCAATTAATTTCTTTCTAGTTTTAGTAGAAACGGGGTCTTGCTCTTGCTCAGGCTGGTTTCGAACTCCTGACCTTGAGCTATCTGCCTGCCTCGGCCTCCCAGAGAGCTAGGATTACAGGCGTGAGCCACTACACTGGCCAAGGATTCTTAATTTCAAACATCACAGTCGTTTTAGATCAGGTGCTATTCAAGGACACTGTTTGACACGTAGGCAGATATGCAAAGAAGTGTTAACATGGCAAACTTGAAGCTGTGCCCCTTAGAAAGTCCCCCTTTGCTCCTCCTTCTGATCCTTCTCATTCTTTAAGACCTAGTTCAAGTCCCACGTGGCTGGTGGCCACATGTCTGTATTTTTGTGGGTGCCACTCTGGGGTGTGGGGGAGTCTCATGTGGGTAACACTAGGCGATTATCAACAAGTGGGTGTTCTGCTGTAGGCTGCAAGCGGCGTCTTTGCACCTATCAGTCTTATTTGCAAATCTCTTAAGGAGTGACACTGGGCATGGAAAATATTTATTCTCAGGGCATATCTAGTTATCAGACATATGTGTCTTCAGAGTTGTCACTGGCCAGTTTCCAAGGTTTGAGGGATTATTTTCCCCCTGGCAGTGATGAGACTTCCTCCAGTGCACCACGCAGCGTTGGGAATAAAGCTCGCTGGGTGGCAGGGTCCCTGTCCCTGCTGGGCTGCGCCTGTGCTCACGTAGGTCAAGGGTGGGGCAGGGGAGCGTCGCAGGAGGGCGTTCCTAAGGAGCATTGCACGCCCAGTCTCAGCATCCCTGAGGCCACCCGTGGCTGTCGTTCCTCCCGTCGCCCTCCTCAGATCCAGACGGCGCTGCGGCACAAGTCCGAGATCGAGCACCATCGCAACAAGATCCGGCTGCGCGCCAAGCGCCGCGGGCACTACGAGTTCCCGGTGGTGGACGACCTGTCCTCGGGCGACACCAAGGAGCGGCACCGGGTGTACCGCAGGGCGCAGATGCAGATTGACAAGATCCTGGACCCCACGGCCAGCGTGCCCTCGGTGTTCATAGAGCCCCGGAAGAGGTGGGCAGAGCTCCTGCGCGGATAGGTGGGGGCGGGCACACAGGTGCCACAAGGCGCAGAACGGGGCCCCTCTCTGCTGTCGTAGGGCCTGTGACAAAAGGGCCGCGTCCGTTTTCACGTGAAAGTCTGAAAACGAGTTGGAGACGCGCAGAAAGGCTGGGTAGGCTACTGGTCCTGTCCTTCTCAAAGCAGCTCCTCCCGTAGCTCCCTGGGCTCTTCCCGACACCTATTCTTTCACTTCCACGGTTCACCTCCTGGGGAGTCCAGCCGCGGGGGTGGGGGTGGTGGGTGGCCTCATTTGTTTTCTCACAGCCGCCTGCAAGGTCGGGGGTCTTACCTGTCCCCACCTGGCCTCCCAGGCTCCTGCCCCGCGGCGCAGGTGCATTTTCTTCAGAAGCTGCTCGCGTGTGTGTCTTTCTCTGCTCACATCCTGAGATGGCTTTTGCTGCCTGCCACGTGGAACCTAGGCAGGGCCTGCCCTCCGTCACGGCTCTTTTCCGCTCTCTGCCACGCAGACAGTACCGCCGGCAGGAGGGGGGCACCTCCTAATTCCCCAGTCACCCGCTCCCCCTTTCCCGCCGCTGGCGGTGCCTGCCCCTCGCCTCTCGCTCCCACCGCTCCCGGCTGCAGGCCCCCCCCTGGTGGTCAGACCCAGTTTAGGCCGGGTGGTGCCAGCCTGGCTCACACCCACCCCTGTGCTTTCTGGACGTGCAAATATAACTGAACGATGTCACGATTACGGACTGCCTTCTCTGTTCCGTGTGCGTTGATGAGTCTGTTTAGGTAGGCTCTGCGCAGAAACCGTGTCTTGTGTGTGTTTGCATGTTACCAGGTGTTTGCACAGTGGCCAGCACGTGGTAGGGACTAAGAAAACACTTAGCGCTTACTTGATAAGCCAGTGGCAAGAGAGTTATTTCTGAGGAAGATAATTTCTTTTTTCTTTCCTGGCAGTTCACGGATAAAACGGTCTCCTAAGCCTCGCCGGAAACACCAGGTCAACGGCTGTCCCGCCGACGCCGAGAAGGACAGGCTCATCACCACGGACAGCGATGGCACTTACAAAAGGCCCCCCGGCGTCCACAACTCCGCCTACATCGGATGCCCCGTGCGTGACGTGACGTGACGCTGACTTCCGCCTCGGGAGCCAGGGAGGGTGGCGCCTAGGAAAGCGCGTCAGGGGAGAGCGCGGCGGTGGCAGCTGCCCGCCCGTGTGGAGGCTGATGCTCCAGGGCCAGCCGCGTCGTGAAGCGTGTGGGGGAGGGTGGCCACTCCTTCCGAGGGAGACTTGAGTCACATCAGCCAGGGGGCTGCTGAGTGATGCCTCTGGAAGCATACTCCATGTTTCTCCTCTCTGTGTGTCAGCTTCTCTCGGGCTTCAGAATGGGGACTTCTTGAGGTTAACTGGGAAACAGAGAGAGAGAGAGAAATGTCCAGAAGGTTTTTTTTCCTTCCCCCAGTCAGAGGGTTGTTTGGGTTTCTTGATGATAGGAGGGTTATTCAGGGTTTTGTTCCCTCCTCCTGCTGCCAGAGTGCTAAGAAGATAGTGTATTTGCATATGTGTGTGTGTGTGTGTATATATTTATTTATTTTTATTTTCGTGGAACAAAGAACTTAATGGAAATTAAGAAATAAGGAGTGAATCATTTTTTTTTTCCAAACTGAAAGGGGCACAGACAGTTTCTTCAAGTGTTAAAGGCAGACATTGGCAGCATTAAGACACAAATACACAGACCCCATTGAAGAGGGAAGAGGAGCCAGCCTCAGTGAGGGGCTGTGAGGGACACAGACACAAAGACACCCCATGGCAGAGTGGGACAGCCAGTGTGCTCCTGAAGCCCTGTGCCAGGCTAGTGCCCCTGCCTTGTTGCACGAGGCCCCTTCCTCTTTCTGGACGCAAACTCACAGGGCCATCCTTGTTTAGAGAGCATTTAGCAAGTCACATCCTTGGAGATGGGATTTGAGATTTACATGATCACTTTAGGTAAATCTTATGCAGCCAGCCATTTCTCACCATTTCTTACTTGAGGTTTGTATTTTTCTCCTAAATTACACAAATAACACTGAAAGACACTAAATACAATCAAAACACATGTGCCAAAGATCCACTGACATGAGGCCTAAATGTAATTGAATCATGATCAACTGAAAGAACCAGACTTTCCTTGGGACCTTCCTGTATTTCTGGTGTCCTAAAGACTGACTGTGACCTTCATAACCTCCCCATGAGGACCAGTGTGATTCCAGAGAGTCGGAAAGTCGACACACCAGACTATTCTCCTCCTCAGTAGAACAGATGGAGTAGTTTCTGTTACTTTAAGCTCCTCCTGCGAGATCGCTGGCAGTTCTCGCAGTAGATGGTGGTCTTGTGCCACCCTTGGGTTTTTGGAAAGGTGTCTAGACTTGGTTTGATCTGGGAGCGCTGTCTCCTTGGCACCCCCAGGTGGCCACCTGGAGCCTTTGTCTGTCTGAAGCAGGAACTTCCTGTGGTGTGGAGCTGAGGATGGAGGGAAGGACTGAGTCCCCTCCCTCTTCCCTGCCCTGGCCAGCCTGGGCTCACGCTCTCAGGGGAATCTCCAGGGAGCCTTCTCAGTCCCTGTCTTCTTTCCTAACCAGCCCTGATGGCTTCATGCGGCGCCACTGGCTTCTGTCTGGGGAGTGACCTGCGTCGATGACCCTAACTTGGGCTTTTTTTATGGTGGCTCGCACCATCTGTTTTTTCTTCCTTTTTTGCTTGGCAGAAAGTGCAGCAGTTCCTCCTTCATTGGGTCAAAAGAAGCCTTTTCCTGGAGAACACTACTCAGTCGGCTACTTGTCTTCCATGGCTCCTCTTTTCAGACTCCCTAACGTGACAGTCTTTCTCAGATGGGCTTACTTTTCACTCCTTCTCACTAAAAATTCTGAAGCGCATGCTTTCAAAGATAATGTCTTTCTCAGAACTCGCTTGCCATTTCTAAAGTTATTTTTCATCTTCAAGACTATGCTGGGGATGTGCTACATGTTTTTGAATTACCGTGAGTTTTCTACTTTCCCTTCAAAATATTTTCTTTTTGGCCACTGATGGTGGCTCACACCTGAGGGCACAAGGTCCTCAGCCCCAAGGACAGAACCTCTTCTCTCTTCAGTGTCTGTTGCAGCCATCGTGATATTTGGGCTTATGGAGCCTCTAAGACCAGAAAGGGCTCTTCTTCAGTTGGTTCCCTGTTTGGTCTCTTGTAGTTTACTCAATGTACATTATGACGTTTTACTCACAATGCAATATCAGTGAATAAGATTTTTAAAAAAATCTTTGTTACTTATCATCCTGCCTCTTAAACAGTGGGTATAGAACAGGGTTTAAACCTTTGTTAATGACTCATGTTACCCAGAGATACCTCCATTTTGAAGACAAATGTTTTTTTGAATAAATAATTGTTACTATTTACTATTGTAAATAGCTGTTATGATAGGTTATTATCATACTATATATCTATATATACTATTATCATATTATACTTTAATATGATATAATATTATCATATTATATATACATATATATACATATATATAATTATAAAAGTATAATTATTTATATGTACAACACAGTCTTAATATAGTGGTGACTTTAACCTCTTTTAGGGGTATGTAGGGCTATTTCTTCTATTGTTAATAGTCAATAGACTGCTTTGGTTTTTGATTTCTCTGTGGAAAGTTGACTAGGTTTTTCCAGTATATATATTTTGAAATGTGGTTTTTGGCTGCTGAGGGGCTTTTAGTAAAAAAGTCTACCTCTCGGTACTGAAGTATGTTTCTAATAGTTGAATTTTCCTGAAGGCAATGATCTTTGAGTACCTCCACTTTTTTTTTTCTTTTTTTCTGATTGAAGCCTTTTTCCTCCATGAAATGTAACGTACATTCCTCAGCTGTCATTTTTTAATGCTTAGGATAAACGTTTTCCTCCGTGTCAGGAAAATGGTTAAATTCCATTTTGGCCACAGAGTTTTGTTGTAGGGTCACCAGGAAAGCCTGTGTGTGATCCTTCTCTCCTTTATCTCCCCAACTGTAGTCGGACCCTGACCTCCCAGCTGACGTGCAGACGCCGTCCTCGGTGGAGCTGGGGAGGTACCCAGGCCTGCCCTTCCCCGCCTCCCAGTACATCCCGCCCCAGCCATCCATCGAGGAGGCCCGCCAGACCATGCACTCCCTCCTGGATGATGCCTTCGCCCTGGTGGCCCCAAGCAGCCAGCCCGCCAGCGCCGCAGGTGCGGGCCCTGGGGTCCCACCTGGCCTGCCCATGAACAGCACCCCTTCCCGGGAAGAGAGGCGAGCCACCCAGTGGGGGTCCTTCTACAGCCCAGCCCAGACAGCCAACAACCCATGTGGTGTAAGTACTTGCTTTCTAGAATTCTCTCATGGCCACGTCTTGTACTTGTGTTGCCTGATTGCCTCCCTTTCAGGCTTCCCGCAAAACGCTGATTGTATCTGGTAAGAACTAAAGCTTGGACGATGGGTCTTAGTTTTTGTTATCTTCTGCTAAGTTAATTCTTAATGTTGGAATTGTCCTTTTATGCCACTCTGATACTTGGTTTGCTGAAGAATGGAGGAGGATTTTTAGGGAAGTATTTCCTGGTTTCCTCACAATATCATGAAGTAGAGGTGGGTAACTGTCAAAACATATGGTCATTTGTGGCTCCATAAAAGGTGCAGTTTTAGGATGTACTCAAATAGTTTAACTTCTCGTACGGCCACGTGGGACTGAAGCCCTGGAGGCTGTGGGAGCGTGGGTGGCAGCGGTCCACAGGTGAGCAAGGACGACCATTCTCAAATGTCAACGTGCCATCTGGCATTGAGTTGACATTTCAGCATCTCATCTGCCTTTGTTGTCATTTATGTTTTTCATATTCAATCAGTCCTTTCAAATTTACCTTCTTAAGACACGGAAAAATAAAAACTCTAAGAAGTGACACAAATATTATGTTCTTTTAATTTCAGGTGAAATAAATGAGACTAAAAGATTTGACTCTGGAGTGAAATTAGTAGGTCACAATTTAAATGTATTAGTCAGGGAGTGTTTTTACTGGGCCCTCGGATTTCGTTACCCTTACAATTGGGTGACATTGGGTGGCGATAACCATATGTTAAAAGAATTTTATTTTTTTGTCTTTGAAATTGGCTCGAATTTTCAGAATAGGCCCTTGGCAATAGATTGTTCCCTTCCAGGCACACATGGCACAGAGGCTGCAGTGTGGATAACCCTGCCACGTGGGGGGCAGGAATATCATTCACTCTGATCATTATTAGTTATTATTTAATGTTACATCATAGCTTGATTCCACAAATATTAAACTACAAAGTCACAGCTGGTGGTTTCTAATCTTTCAGGAAATGGAGGTACAGAATGAAACTCAGTGAGAAAATAAATGTGGATGTGGTTGCTATATCTGGTCATTTGCTTATTGGCCTGCTGTATTCCGGGGATTCTGCTGGGTGTCGGGGACATAGCAGCGTACAACGCGGTCCCTGTTTCCCAACTCTCATGTTCTGGGGAAGACGTGTGGACAGTCAGAATGGAATTTCCAGCACAGTGTGGGAGGTGCCGTGGTGGGGAAGTGATGTTGGGGGTGGGGGCACTTAGCTGGACCTTGAGGTGTTTGTAAAGGATTTTCTGGACAAAATGACATCCAAGTAAAAAATCTAAAAGATAATTAATTAGTGATTGTCAGTTGGAGGATATTTCAGGTCGTGGGAATTATAGCAGAGACAAAGAAATTAAAGTATGTGGGACAGGCTGGGCGTGGTGGCTCACGCCTGTAATCCTAGCACTCTGGGAGGCCGAGGCTGGAGGATCACTCAAGGTCAGGAGTTCAAAACCAGCCTGAGCAAGAGCGAGACCCCATCTCTACTAAAAATAGAAAGAAATTAATTGGCCAACTAAAATATATAGAAAAAATTAGCCGGGTATGGTGGTGTATGCCTGTAGTCCCAGCTACTCAGGAGGCTGAGGTAGAAGGATTGCTTGAGCCTAGGAGTTGGTGGTTGCTGTGAGCTAGGCTGACGCCATGGCACTCTAGCCCAGGCAACAGAGTGAGACTCTGACTCAAAAAATAAGTAAATAAATAAATAAATATGTAGGACAAAATTCCTCTTCTGCACAAGGTGGAGGAAGAGTCTGGATTTACTTTCCTTTATGAAACTGGGGCTACCAGAATATTTTTTTTTTTTCCCTCAGCCACCACTTTTCTCAGTTAATAGCATGATTCTACTCCTTTACTTATTTGCTTCCTGCTGGTGAATTTTTAGCAGTAATTTTTGACAGATTTGCATCAAAATAAATTTCTTACTTATTCATTGTTCATAGGTGTTGGGGATTAAAGATTCCAGATAATGCTTTAATCTACCCTCTTAACTGTGAATTCAAATCCATCAGTAAGATTTTTATAAGCACTGTTATTCAGTGGTTTTTCTCAGCGTGGACTTTCGATGTTATCCTAATGTGTTTTGATGAGAATGATAACAATTTTAATCTAGTGGAAAGCCAGAATCATTACCTGAATCTGTGGACATCTAATATAATTTAGACATATTTATAAATTGGTTGTAAAGTTACTGTTGCCAGGAGGAATCTGATCGTCATTTATTTTGCTGCTTCTGACTATAGTAAAAACCACAGGAATGTGGATTTCAAGGTGCCTCCAGTTTCCACCTGAGCCTTTATTTACCACCTGATGACATTCTTGCTCTCTTCTGCCAGTGTGAGGGTGCTCGTTGTGCATCAGTGAGTTAGGCCATGTGATAAGTGGTGTTTCTGCTTCCCTGGTGAAAGTTAAGCTGTCTCTGGAGCAGTCCTCTCCGCAGCGAGTATGGATGCCTGAGCTAAGACCCTTTCAGGCAGGCCTGACTGTGTGTTTGCTGTGCCTTAGGCCTATCCCAGACTCCACTAACCACGCGGCTTGCCTTCCCCGCTCTTCTGGCCTGTGTTTTGTAGTGAATTGAAAGAAGAGATGCATTAAAATGGGATTTTTATTGACAATAACTGATTGAAACCTTCCAATCCAATTTTGTCCTCCAAGTTTGTATATAGGTGTGTGACCCATCCTGCAACAGAACCACAGACATCCCATCTGTAATTTTTTTTTAAACCTTTTCTTCATGGCATGCAATCTCTAGAAACACGACATCCTTTTTCAGATGACAATAGAGTTGAAATGCCTAGCACTACGATAATACAACAGATAACAAATAGATAGGTGTTTTTCACTGTTTTTAATTTACTTTGTCACTTAGACCTCCTGAGATCTTGAGAAGTAAACTGGTAAGCCTTGATTTTTGTTAAAATATAATTTTGCATCTGAATATGTTTTAAAATTGCACGCTGTGCTGAGAGCACACAGGCCACTGTGAATAATCTTTATCCAGTGTCAGATTTCCCTTTAATTGTTTGGAAAAAGAGTTGAAGCTGCTTTTCCTTCTCTTCCCTGCTTCTTCCGTAATGTGCCTTAGCTTGTTTTAGCCCAGCTGGGGAACTGCAGCTCTGCCAAGAGGATGGGAGCAGACAGGGTCAGAAGGGGAAGTAATCTGACCACAGCTTCATATTTAATAATCCCCGCAGAACGCTGTGCGTCTAGAGATCATTATATCCTCTTGGCACAAAGAAAGAGGCCCAGGGACGCTGAGTGGCTCTGCCTGATTGCAGAGTTGCTCTTTTCCCCACGAAATGGAGATCGGCTCACAAGGGAAAGGCTGGTTCGGGAGCCACGGGCAGTGCGGGGCATTGATGAAGAGTGTGGCCTATGGCATCCGAAAGACTTTTTAGGAAGAAATTACCTAACTTCTTTGTGAGTTGGTTTCCCTCTGTAAAACAGGTGGTGAGCACTTTTTTAGTGGTGGTGTTGGCCCGACCTAATGCTCACACAGTGCTTAATACAAAATACGAAGTCAGTGGATGAAAGGTTACAAAGAGAAGGATGGCGTGGTAGAGCCGCTCCAGGGGCAGGGCTGACTTCGCCCCTACCTTGGAGCCCCTGGTCATGTACAGACCATCAAGTGGGGCTGACGGCAGCTGGGCGGACTCTATCCAGAGTTACTGTTCTGCTGAAATATCTGATTCCACAATAACGATTCCCCAGTTTTGAAAAGAGATGTTGAAATCGGAGTCCCATGTATGTTAGGGATGGGATATGTTGACTTCCTGAGCAATGCAGCAGATTTCTTAGGTGGATGTTTCTTTAAAACACGTGGCATATTGCTTTAGTCAAAGAACACTTGGCTAGTTTGCAAAGAGTTGGTTGAAGGATGCAGGGACACCTTATGTATGGAATGTAAGGGCAGGAAGGATAGCTGGGTCTCCTTGAAGCCAGAAAACGGTCTGAAACTGAGGGTGCTGCCTTCAGCTTTTAGGGCCTTTCTTAGTTTCTGGTTTTCTTTTTGTTCATTCTCTTTTTATAGCATTCTACCACATGGTACAGCATTTGACAGTTTGTCACTTGAGGTATTTGAATTGCTGCTTGGCACCCACCAGATCTGGCAACATTATGGCTCGTGTTGTAGAGTCATCTGCCCTGAATGTGGCCACCCAGGCCTGCCTTTTTAACATGAGACGCAGGTTTGCAGAGAATGAGCCTGGAGGGAAGAGCAGGCACAAGAAGCCTGTCGATTACTTCTGTTTTTAGTTAGATTATATAAGAAAAGGAAAGATCTAGAAATTAGTTGTGTTTTTCTAAAGTCTAGAAGCCCAGTTCCCCAAACTGAAACGTGTAGCATTACTCAATGGCACAGTGCCCCGGTAGCATGCTGAGTTTTAATGAGAAAATAATTCCCTTGAAAGTCAATCCTGCCAACCTAAATTTATAAGTTTGCTGTTGTCACTTTATAATAAGCATTGGATATTAATCTTCATGTTCTCTTGAATCTCTTCCAGAGATACGAAGACTATGGAATGACTCCCCCATCAGGCCCATTGCCAAGGTAAGATTTTCAGAACGAAATGTATTATTACTTTCTCACATAGGCTGTTTTTTAAAATTTTGTAAACTCATTTATTTTAGCTAGTGTGAGCAGATTGCAAAACTCTTGAGTTTTGTATATTCTCTTGATCTAACCAGAAGAGGAAAGAAAAAAGTTGGAATTTAAGTTCTACTTCCAGCAACAACAGACTACATAATTTAGACCAGCCCTCTTGCTGAAGACAACTGGAAAAGCTGGACAAAGTATTAAATTAAATTAAAAAAAAAACCCAAAAAACCTGAGAGATAACAGTGAAGCAGTCTAAGGTCAAGCTCCAGGAAACCCAGAGAGAGGAGCCCAGTTTGGGGGCCACTGTTCTCCCAGAGACATCTGTGGATTTCATGAGAGGCCACTGGGAAGCCGGGCGAAGCTTTTGACAGACTAATGGGGCTGGGGGTGCGAGGAGGACAGACCCTGGTAAACACCCAGAGGTTTTGAGTTTCGACCCTTAGGTGTTATACTCTAGGAATTGGGGTGAATCATATGTAGATCAGTCCTGCAGGAACTAAAGTTCAGCTTTGAAAGGTGCTCAGGCATTGGTACCTGTCAGAAACAAGTGTAAATCCCTTTTAGAGGAAGATAAAGTCACTCTGGGCCTTACATTGTTGCTATGGTACATGTCTCTCTCTCTCTCTCTCTCTCTCTCTTTCTCTCTCTCTCACACACACACACACACACACAGAGGCATATGAGAGGAAAAGAAAATATAATGTTTCAAAAAAGAAACAGACAATAGAAATGGAACCATAGGTGATCCAGTTATTGGAGTTATCAAACAGAGATTTTAAAATAATTACGCTTTATATGCTTAATACAAAGTTAGGGTCCATTGTCCAGGAAAGTGTAAAAGTACTATTTGATGTTAGACTGTACAATGTCAAGGATTGTGGTGTAGTTTTTAGGACAACTCACTAAAAGAGTGCTGAAAGATTACCTAAATATAATATTATAAGGAGGAATAAACTAATTTTAAAATAATCCAAGAGAAGATAGGAAATGGGAGAAAAAAGAATATAATACTGGCAGGACATACAGAAAGCAGCTATAAAATGATAGAAATCTAAATTAAAATCTAAAAGTAATTATATTAAATGTTAATAACTAAATATTCCAATAAAAAAAAAGATTAGATTGGATTTTAAAAACTGTATTTGGCTTATGAGACACATCAAAAATATAAAGCTATAGAAAGGATATAGAAGGTTTGAATAACATGATCAACTTGACCTAATTGACTTGCATAGAACACTAGACTTAATAACTGTGAAATTTACCTTCTTTTAATATACATTAAAAAATTTACCATATACTGGGCCATAACAAATTTCAAAGAAGTGAAATCATTCAGAGTATATTTATTAGTCCTAGTAAAATTAAGTTAGAAACCAATAACAAAAGATAACTAGAAAATCCCTACATGTTTGCAAATTACTCTTCTAAAATAACCCAAGATACACTGAAGAAATCACCGTGGAAATTAAAATATAACCTAAAATGAAGAACAGTGAAAATGCAGCATATCAAAAGTTGTGGGATACAGCTATAGTAGTGTTTATGGGGAGAATTTATTGCCTGAAATGAATATATCTGGAAAGAAAAATGACTGAAAATCGTTGATCAATGAATCCTACTCAATATGTGAAAAAAAGAAGATCCAATTAAACTTAAAGTAGAAGGAAGGAAATAATAAAAATAATGGTATATAAATTAATGAAATAGAAAATAAATACCACATTAGAGAGGACTAATAAAGCCAAAAATTAGTTCTTTGAAAACTAATAAAATTGATAAACTTCTGACAAGCTTGACCAAATAATCTGTATAATAAATTATCAATAAGAAGAATAGAAAGGACACATTAATCCAGATTTCTCATGCCTGCAATCCCAGCCACTCAGGAGGCTGAGGAGGGAGGATTGCTTTGAGGTCTGGAGTTTAAGACCAGCTTGGGCAACATAATGAGACCTCTTTCTTTAAAAAAGTAAAAATTAGCTAGGTGTGGTGGCATGCACCTGTAGTCTGAGCTACTCAGGAGGCTGAGGCAGGAGGATCACTTGAGCCCAGGAATTTGAGGCTGCAGTGAGCTATGATCACTCCATTGCACTTCAGCCTGGGTTACAGAGCAAGATTCTGGGTCTAAAAAGAAAGAAAATAAAAATGATTTTATGAATACATTTTCATTCATAAATTTGAAATGGAAAAATTCCTAGAAAGAGAAAACTTGAATAGTCATATAACTATTTTAAAAATGGAGATCACTATTAAAATTCTACCCACAAGGAAAACTCTAGGCCCAGCTGACTTAAACAGTGAATTCTGCCAAACACTGAAGGAGGAAAAGGTGCCAGTGTTATACAAATTCTCCCAAGAAATAGAAAAAAGGGAGAACACTCCCTAACTCATTGCGTGAGGCCAGGATCACCGTGATGCCAAGGACAAGGACAAGAGTGCAAGGAAGAAAACATTAAAGGCCAGTTTCTCATGAACCTAGATATGAAAAATTAGAAAGTAAACATCACTGAACATCTCTGGCAATATGTACAAAAGGATATCACATTATAACCAAGTTGGATTTATTCCAGCAATGCAAGGGTGATTTAGCATTTTAAAAATGAAGCTGTATAATTTACCACTTCAAGGAAAATAAAGGAGGAAAATCATCTCCTTTCAATAGATATAGCATGTGATAAAATTCAACATCCATTCATGGTAAAAATCTTAGTAAACAAAGAATAGGAGTGAACTTCTCTATTCTGTTAAAAGGCATCTTGGCAAATATTACTTAATGGTGAAAGGTTAAAAGCTTTCCTTCTGAGAACAGGAGTGAGACAGAGGTGCCTGCTCACATTACTTCTGTTCAGGACTGCCCCAGGGGTCCTGGCCAGTGTAACAAGGCAAGGAAAAGAAACAAACAAAAGTAAGGAGTTCAAAGAAAGAAGTAATACGGTTATTATTCACAGATGATTATAATTTTGTATTAGCAAATTCTGAAGTGTCAACACATTAGTTGTTAGAATTAAGGGAATTTAATAAGATCACTAAATAGTAGGACACCTGAACAGCAAGGTAACTGGATACAAGATCAATGTACAAATATCTGTTTTATTTCTGTATATATGCACCAAACAAAAAAGAAATTTTCAAAGGTACCACCTAAAGTAGCATTCAGAAATATAAAACATGTGAAAATAAACCTAACCACAGATGTTTAAGCCCTCTAAAGAAAGATGTTCATGGATTGGACAACTCAATATTTTTAAAATGGCAGTTTTCCCCAAGTGATCTTTACATTTAATGCAATCCCATTCAAAATCCCAGTAGTTTTTTTTAATATATGTAAATTGACAAGCTGATTCTACAATTTACCTGGACATGCAAAGGGTCAGGAATAGCCAAGATGTTTTGAGAGAGAAGAATAAGATGTGAGGACTATTCTAAAAGCTATAAATTACTGTTGAGTAATTAAGATGGTTTGGTATTGCTGTGAGGCTAGACAAGTAGACCAGTACACCACACGTGTGTGGACATTGGTTCATTACAAAGACAGCATTGTAGTAAAGCAGTGAATCACAGAAATCAAACCCACTGTCCCTTCCATGACCAGAGGACACACAGAAGTAGAAATATTGTCAGTTTCCTACTTATTTTACTGTTAACTTTTCTTTATACTTCATTTTCAGAGGGGTTTCTTTATTTTTTCCCACCCTTCCTCCCCTACCCAGGCACTGCTATGTGGTCCAAAGTAAAAAAGGTAATAGTGGCGAGGGGAGCTTAGGTGATGCAGTGCAGAAGTTAGAGATATGGGGGACCCTATCATCTGGTTTGCTCAGGTTAGTCCCAGTCATCAGTAGCTTTCAATCTCAAAGTGTTCCAAGGCCGGGCGTGGTGGCTCATGCCTGTAATCCTAGCACCCTGGGAGGCCTAGATAGGAGGATTGTTTGAGCTCAGTTGTTCGAGACCAGTCAGAGCAAAAGCAAGACCCTGTCTCTACTAAAAAATAGAGAGATTAGCCAGGTGTGGTGGTGTATGCCTGTAGTCCCAGCTACTTGGGAGGCTGAGGCAGGAAGATGCTTGGGCCCATAAGTTTGAGGTTGCTGTGAGCTATGATGACACCACTGCACTCTACCCGGGGCTACAGAGTGAGACTCTGTCTCAAAGAAAAAAAAAAGTGTTTTGGTATGGACAATAAATCTTATTATCATCACCCAAGTTAAAGGAGTCTAGAGTATCTCAGCACACAGTGTAGGATAAAGATGATGCAAATGTAGTCAGCGGGGGGCAGGAGGAAGAATTAAGTGAAGGGCCAGAGCTCCTTGGTGAGTGGAGGGTCCAGGGATTGTGGCTAGGTGCGATGTGGCTCCAGTTTCCAGACCTTGAAGGAGGAGCTGGCCTCACGTTAAGCCCTTAGATCTGTAAAGTCAGAGATGACAGGCATCTCCCTTCTGAGGCCGATCTAAAACAACGTTAGTTTTTTAAAAAGTGTAAAATAGTCTGGGTTTTAAAAAGTGTAAAATAGATAGTCGATTTATGAGATATATTTCAGAAATAACACCATAGAATAAGTGCCAGTCAGTCTCCATTCTCGCTATGCTGGCTTAATCTGTTTCCCTGCCATTTGCATAGAGCTGTAGTAGACTGTAACCTTTTGTTATTCTTGAATTTCTTGAGACTAGTTCTCAGGGCGGGGTCTTTGAGACCCTTTCTGTGGAGGTCTATGAAGTCAAAACTATTTTTGTAATATTCTTGAGAGGTTATTTGCCTTTCTTCATTACGTTGGCACTTGCACTGAGGTGCAAAAGCAGTGGGGGGTGAGGCCGCTGGCCCTTGGCTGTGTCTAGGCAGTGCCAGGTTGTGTGGGTGGCAGTGTGTTCTTCACCGCTGTGTGATCGCAGTCAAAAACAAAGTGCCAGTTTTATGTTAGCATGTCCTTGATGCAGCACTAAAAATTATTAGTTTTATGAAACCTAGACCCTTGAGTCTTTAATAGTCTGTGTGACAAAAGAGGAAATACGTATAAAGCATTTCTGCTGAATATAGGATTTTTAAGGGAAAGCCCATTGTTTGAGTTGAGACTGAACTAACTTCTGTTGTGCTTTTGACTTGAACAAACAACCGACAGACATCATCTTCAGACTTGAGTGTGTTTGGCAGACATTGTCTCGAAAGTGAACAAAGCGAGCCTGTCACTTCAAGAAAAACAACTGACAGTATTTGGTGCTAATGATAAAATTGAGCTTTCAAGTGAAAATTTGAATTTTGGAAACTTTTGTCTGCTGTAGTGAACTTAACAGCTTCCCAGTACCTAAAGACTTTTCTATTAATAGATGAACTCGATGACGATATTAACGAATGAAATTTTTTGATACTGCAAAATGAGATATAACAATATCAAGGTCTGCACAACTCAGCGAACTAGTATTTTTCCAAATGACAGATGTTATAAAATCATGCATGGGTTAAAGATCCATTCAAAGTACAAGATGGAGCTGTGGGTTTTAATGTAATGGAGTATGAAAAGTTCATCGATATTGTCTCAGATTTCACATTGCAACTAACCCCCAAGGAACTACCACTTGACAAGTTTAGGTGTGGTATCAAGAAGAATATCTGAAATATTCTTCAAATATTATCTGAAAAGGCTATTAAAATACTTCTCCCATCTATACATTTTCTGTGAGGGAGCATTTTCTTCTTGAAATAACATACGGCAACTGATTGAATGCAAAGTATATGAGAATCCAGGTACCTTCTATTAAGGAAATTTGAACAAAATATAGAAGAGTGGCACTCTTCTCACTAATTTTTTTTGGCGAGGGAGTTGGAGAATTTAGCTGATTTCATGAAAAATGTTATGTTAATATGTAATAGGTTTATGTTGTTGTTTTTACATGAATTTTTAAAATAAGTATTTAAAAAATGTTTCAGTTTTAATTCCTTATATGGTGAATATTGGTAGATGTTAATATAATCCACATAAATAAAAGCTCGTGGGAGTCCTTGGGAATTTTATGAGTAGAACAGGGTCTGGAAACCAAAAGGTTTGAGAAGCGCTTAGAACACTGGTTCGATGGGCAGCAGGATCATCACTGCGGAGTTTTAAAAACTGCCAGGGTCTGGGTCCCACCTCTGGAGATTCTGTGTGGGTTTGTCTGGGTGCGGCGTGGGCGTCCCGTGCTCACGTGGGTGGTGCTGACGTGCAGCAGGGTGACAGCCACGGCGCTGGCCAGAGGCTAGAGACAAACAGGCCCTGGAACCTCAGCTGTGTCTCTGTTTGCTCTGGAAGGTAAAGCATTTCTTCCACTTTTTTTTAAATGGAAAAAATGTATCCCGTGGTCGCACAGAGATTGGTCAGCATCGGCCGTACTCCGGGCGCTGGGGGTGGGGTGGGAGCAAATAGAAGTGAATAGGATCCCTGCTCTCAGGCGGCAGGGGAAGCGTCTCCTGCGGTCAGGCAGGTAGACAGATGGGGCTCATCCTGCTGTCGTGTTGAGCGCCTGAGAAGATCTCGGAGCCGGGGTGTGCTGATGCTCGCGTGTGCTCTGCCCGCAGGCCGAGCCTCGGCCCCGGTTTGCTGCCGTCTTCGGAGCTGGCACCGCCTGAGCCCCAGCAGCCGCAGGCAGCGGCCGAAGCTCCGTTTGCTGCCCGCGGGATCTACGCTGAGGAGATGCAGCCGTCGGTGGCCCGGCCCCGGCCTGTCGGGGGCACCACAGGTACACGTGGCTGTTCAGCTTGCATTCCAGAGCCGTGGGACGTTGGTTTTTTGGCTAAATTGGGAAACACTGCATGTCAGACTTCCCGGAGCATCCGTGCCCAGCGCGCAGCCGCTGCTTCCCCTGGTCAGGGCTGTCGTCCCTCGGATCCCGGCAGAGTGCAGGCAGGGGCGCTGGGAAGCTCGGGGTGCCTGAGGTCCCCAAGGCCGGCATGTGCCGGTCTGCCCTGAACCAGCCCCTTCACGGGGAAGTCGCAGCTCGCTTCCTCCAGAAGAAACATTTCTGAATCTTCACGGTAATCTGGAAGGTCTGTCTGAGCACCTGGTGTGGCATGAAAAGGCGTTTGTTTTAAAGAAGGTGCTTTTCCAGCTTGTAATGAACAAGTTGCTCAACAGTGACTGGAGGGAGATTTTTGTTTTCTTTGGTCAATTCTAGGAGGGCACAACCACTGTTTCCTCCTTCTACCTTTGTTAGTATCGTCTCCTTCCCTTTCCTTACTTGTCATTATTTCCCGTCCCCTGCCTGAGTCTTGTCTCCTCTGCTGCTGCACATGAGGGCAGAGTCCACGGTGCAGCGCCTGCGGGAAGCCAGTGGCCACTGTGGCACAGTTCTAGCTCCTCTCTGCTCATTCAAACCCCGATTAAAGGAATTGTCTTAGCATCACTACTAGTGACCAGGGCAGCTTCCACCTGATAATGCAACAGTGAAAGATCACGTTTTCTGAAATGATCTAATCACTTTTCCATTTTTATGTCTTTGCACACAGCTTTTTTTTTTTCCCTTTAGTATTTAAAGGGTTTTCCTTTCAGTACCCTTTGAAATTCAGGTAAATTTGTTTTTGGAGAGCTCTGTCACCTGGGCTAGAGTGCAGTGGTGTCGTCATAGTTCACTGCAACCTCAGACTCCTGGTCTCAAGTAATCCTCCCTCCTCAGCCTCCCGAGTAACTGGGACTACAGGCATGTGCCAGCCACCATGCCCAGCTACTTTTTTCTATTTTTAGTAGAGAAGGGGTCTCATTCTTGCTCAGACTGGTCTTGAACTCACGACCTCAAGCTGTCCTCCCACCTCAGCCCCCCAGAGTGCTAGGATTATAGGCCTGAGCCACTGTGTCTGGCCTTGTGTTAATTGTTGAACCCAGAACAAATCCTCCTGAAATTCAGTGGAAGCTTGATATTCATGAGTGATTTGTCCTGAGGTCTTTGTAAATCCCCAGATTTTCAAATATAACTCTAGTTTACAATTGATTTCCCTAATAAGTCCAACAGAAGTGTAAGTGGAGCAGCAGAAACCCCTTCCAGACACGTAGTAAGGGGCACTGCTTACTTGTAGGTTGATAAGCAGTGCCTGGCATGGCTTAGCAAAGATTCTTATATGACAGGTGTCTGCAGTTCAAACTTGTACCTCCAAATTACAAATTACTCCTTTATTTCATAAAACTTCAACTCACAAATAGTTGGTACTATAAGAGCAATACTATTTGTGAATCCTGTTCAGTGTTCCTGAAAGATCTGCATAGTTTAAGATCCGGAACTCTGTTTCTTATAAAGCTCTGCATGTGTTGAAAAATTCATAAAGTTTGTTATCATCTTACTGTATTTTATTATAAAAGTTCAAAGTCACTTGTTTATTTTCCCCATTCATTTCTTCACCCTCCATTTTGAAACTTTAATGAGAGGAACCATTACATGTTAAATCATTAATTTTGCTATTTTCTAACTTTCTGGAGAATATACACCTTTATATTGTCATCAAGAAAGTAATTTATTTCATATTGGATGAGAGCCTAAGGGGGAAAAAAAGTAGTTTAGGATAATTCCAAATTTGCAATAATTGGTGTATATTTTTTTTCCATTGTGGTCTTCTAGGAGGTTCTTGCATTTTGCATTGTCTGTTAGCTAATAAAATAAATAATGTATTCTGATATCCTACAGGATTTCCCATACTTTACAGGTGCTTTGCTTTGCAATGAGTCTTGTTTCTCCTGTTAATTGTTGTGTATTTGAACCTTGCTGCACATATATCCTAAACAAAATTCAGAAGTACTAATTTTTAATTAAAAAGTCTAGAAGAATATAGAAGTTGTATGTGTCAAACATTTGAAAGTTATTTTTAATTTCTAATAATAGATGAAATTATGTAAACATTTGTAATGGAAATGTTAAGATCTAATAGACTAGTTACCTTTTTGACTGTGGAAAATTATCAAATGTGTGTGTCTAAAACTGGCCAAAACCAAAATAGTACCTAGGGAAAATTTACTGCAGATTGTGGCCAAGACGTATATGTACTATAGAGGGTAACTCATATAAATCGATAAAGGTGCGAATCTGAAAAGATCCGTGAGCAGAGGACAAGACTGAAGAATGCAACAAGAGAAATATATACATGTGTTTAGCATATAAAAGTAAACATAGTGAAAAGGCCCAATTTTGAAAATTATTTAAAAATGCAGATTAAAACCACAGTGAGGGCCGGGTGCGGTGGCTCACGCCTGTAATCCTAGCACTCTGGGAGGCCGAGGCGGGCGGATTGCTCAAGGTCAGGAGTTCAAAACCAGCCTGAGCGAGACCCCGTCTCTACCATAAAAATAGAAAGAAATTAATTGGCCAACTAATATATATAATATAAAAATCAGCCGGGCATGGTGGCGCATGCCTGTAGTCCCAGCTACTCGGGAGGCTGAGGCAGGAGGATCACTTGAGCCCAGGAGTTTGAGGTTGCTGTGAGCTAGGCTGACGCCACGGCACTCACTCTAGCCTAGGCAAGAAAGCGAGACTCTGTCTCAAAAAAAAAAAAAAAAAAAAACCACAGTGAGATCTACCCAAAAGATCCAATGACATTCTACAAAAAAGACACCTGCACTCGAATGTTTATAGCAGCACAATTCATAATTGCAAGGCTGCGGAAACAGCCCAAGTGCATCAATCCAAGAATGGATTAATAAAATGTGGTATATGTATACCATGGAGTACTATTCAGCTCTAAGAAACAATGGTGACATAGCACATCTTATATTTTCCTGGTTAGAGCTGGAACCCATACTATTACGTGAAGTTTCCCAAGAATGGAAAAACAAGCACCACATGTACTGACTAGCAAACTGGTATTAACTGAGTAGCACCTAAGTGGACACATAGGTACTACAGTAATAGGGTATTGGGCAGGTGGGAGGGGGGAGGGGGGCGGGTATATACATACATAATGAGTGAGATGTGCACCATCTGTGGGATGGTCATGATGGAGACTCAGACTTGTGGGGGGAGGGGGGGAAATGGGCATTTATTGAAACCTTAAAATCTGTACCCCCATAATATGCCGAAATAAAAAAAAAAGGGAAAAAAAATCACAGTGAGGTACCATTCCAATCATGAAATTATTTTTATGATAATGCGGTATGGTAAAATTAGCATATTCTTTATCTGTCCGGTGGGGACATGTTACTAATTACCTCCTGAGGTGATTTGGCTGGTTAAAGAAGATGACAAGTATAAAGTGCTCAAAATAGTGCCTGGCATGTCATAAACTTCTAATAAATATTAGCTGCCATTATTATTATCACTATTATATTAATCCCAGTGGTGGTATAAATCATTAAACTTTGGAAAGCAGTTTGGCGATAGGACTTGTGGAACCTTTGATTTGGTAATTTCACTTCTGGGAACCCAGGCTCATGCTCTCCCTAAAATCCAAAATAATGGGGGAAAACTACATAGGCCAAGATGTTTATCACAGCATTATTCGTAATCACAAAACATTGTTAGTTCCCCTAAATACCCAGTGATAAGGGTATCCATGAGTAGATTGTGCAGCTATTTAAAACGGAGAGAGCCAGGTGCAGAAGCTCACACCTGTAATCCCAGCACTGGGATGATCAACTGAGGCTAGGAGTTTAAGACCAGCCTGGGCAACATAGCAAGACCCTATTTCTAAAAACAAATTTTTTTTAATTACCTGGGGCAGGGGTGTGTGTGCCGCCTATAGTCTTAGCTACTTGGGAGGCTGAGGCGGGAGAATCACTTGAGCCCAGGATGCTAGCCTGGACAGAGAGACCCTGTCTCTCAAAATGAATCAATAAATGAATGTAAGGCATAAAAAATAAAAAAAAAAGCAGAAAGGGAGAATTTAAGATTTACCATTTGCCTCCTATGTGTTTGACACTTGATCTATTTTATCTCTTTTAATTCTTGAAATAACCCTTTGAGGGGGATTTGTATCCCCCTGGAAAAGTGAAGGGTCTGTCGGGGCTCAGCGGGAGCAGTGGCCAGTGGCTCAGGGTCACGCTGCGTGGGCAGCTGAGCTGGAATGCGGCCTGCTGGGCTCGATGTTGAATCATGGGAGAAGCCTGTGCTGTATTGTTAAATGAACAAAGCAGGATGCAGAATCATGTCTGAATTATGATTCCAACTACTCTTGTGGTTTAACACAAAAGGTATGCTTTTCTTCCTGTGTGGTTGTTTGAAGCTTTGGGACCGATAGGGAACACTGTGTAGCATTTGTAGCTCTTTGCAGATTTGCTCGGAAGGTGTCTGTTGGGCAAGCAGTACTGATAGCCCTGGTGATTTTAATAGGACCAGGGTTTGCAGTAATTGACAAGTGCTCCAGTAGATTGCATCGCTCTGGCCAGAGCCTGGAGAATTCTCTTGACCTTTAGTTATCGTTATATGTCCAAATAAAATTGTTGAGGAGTTATTTTTTTTTACTGTAGTTGATTAGGAAGGTTGTTAATTAGACAACTGGAGTAGGAGTACCCTTAAGGATGGAAGAGGCCACCTCCTGTGCCTGTGAATGCTCTCGGCCTTTGCAGTACTAGTCTGAGCATCATGGGTCAACTTCATCTTGGCAATGTTTGGAGATAAGTATTCTATTTCACGGTGCTTAAAGATCACTGTCAACTGGGTGTGGTGGCTCATGCCTGTAATTCTAGCACTCAGGAGGATCTCTCAGGGTCAGGAGTTCGAAACCAGCCTGAGCAAGAGCGAGACCCCATCTCTACTAAAAATAGAAAGAAATTAATTGGCCAACTAAAAATATATAGAAAAAATTAGCCAGGCATGGTGGCACATGCCTGTAGTCCCAGCTACTCGGGAGGCTGAGGCAGAAGAATCGCTTGAGCCCAGGAGTTTGAGGTTGCTGTGAGCTAGGCTGATGCCACGGCACTCTAGCCCAGGCAACAGAGTGAGACTCTGTCTCAAAAAAAAGTCACTGTTCCCTCCCTTAATTTGCAGTATAGGGATATTTTCCATATGCCACAAGTCGATGAGGGAGAAAAATATTGTTTGATGCCTGGCTTTCATAGGGACACGGGCTGCAGATGTCCAAGTGTAGGAGAATCAGCTTCGGAGAGTCCTCTGGCTTTGCCATCAGGATACCTCACCGATGAGGCTGAGCGGGTGGCTTTATTTGTGCGGTAGCTAAGTTATGGAAAGAATAAGAGTATCATGAAAAGTCCTTTCATATTTTGAATTCAAATGAATACCTACCCTGCCTTTTAAGAAAAAATGCATATCGTATATCCAGCTCCTTGTGAATCTCAAAGTCACAAGCAGGAAGGACGGCCTTCAGCTTCATGGCTGTTAGCCTCTGTATTAAAAGGAACAAAGATCTCAACCATCTGTTTTTCGTAAGTGCCATTTCTTGACGTAGAATGGGTGCCCTGTTTGAACAGTGTCTGGCACCCCTGGCCCTCACGGGGGTGCGGTGGTCAGAGCTGACGGCTGGCGGGGTCTTCCTCGGCAGCCTCGCCCTCCTGCAAATGCTGACCAGACCTCTCCACCGTGTTCCCTCCAGGCTCCCAGATCCAGCACCTGACGCAGGTGGGAATCGCTAGCAGAATTGGAGCTCAGCCGGTGGAAATCCCAGCCAGCAGAGGCGGCCAGTACGGGGGCGCGGTCTGGCCTTCCTACGGGGAGGATGAAGCGGGGCGGAGAGAGGCCGTGAGTACCTTGCGTTTGGGTCGTCCTGAAACGTTCAGACATAACCACTTAGTGTAGCTGCTTCTGCTTTGGGGATCTCTTTTCGAAACCTACATTAAAAAAGGTTTTAATCGCCTTCACTTCCTCCCTCTTGTTTGTGTTATTGCTCACAGTTTTTAGCATCTGCCTTTTGGAAAGCATGTAGTTTCTCTTGAGGCAGATTTCAGACTTTAGTGAATTTGAACCTGTAGGTGACTAAAATCTGGACTTTGTCGTCAGTGTGATTGCTATGTAAACATTCATGATCTTACATCCCATTTGTGCCTTGCTGTGAGCTTATTAGTGTCATTTGCATTATGACCCACTTGAGGATTAGGTGACTGTGTAACAAGCACACAGTTGGGAGCATTTTAAGGCACACGTTGTCTTTTTGAGGCTTATAATCACTCACTCAATATAGACACAGGTTATTTCTACAAGGGTTTTCATTCATTTTTCTCAAAAATTTTATATCCTTGGCGGATAAATTAATGAAATTTGAAAATACAAACCAAAATGTTACCTTTTGTTTTATCCTTATGCTACACCTTTCATTGCATTTCTGTGCCTTTGCAGCAGACGCAGGCTGGATGCTCTCACTCAGTGGGAGGAAGTTAACTTTTGAATATGCTTTTTTCCCTAAAAGAAACATCGTTATAGGCTCAGGTATCTGCTTTTGGGTTGCTGCCGTTTTTCTTTTATTTGGCCTTCCTTGTGTCCCACTCAGCTTCACGAGATGTTTGGGTTTCCCTTCAAACTCCATAATGCTCACTTTGAAGTGCCTCTCAATCACTGTTAGGAGAAGCAAAACGCAGAAATAACCTAGGGCTGGAATGCCGTGTTTATCTCGCTAAAAACTTGCCCTTAGCATACTTTTTTTCAGTACCCAGATTTAGTATTCTTACATGTAAATGTAAAGGGAGATTTTTTTCCCCCAGTGGAAAAAACGTGAAGAAAAATCACTGAAAGTGTAGTAATTCTTGTCAACCTAATGCCAAATCTGTATGCTGCAAATGTCAGCAAAATGATTGTATGCGTTAGTGCAGATGACTTGCTAAAGACAAGGCTCTACAGAGACAGAAGACAGAGGGCAGTTAGATAAGGTGGAAAATGGTTTTGTGATCTTGTTTGGGGTCTGTGGTCACAGTATGTGCTCGCACGCACACCCTCCCTGGGCTCCATCCCAGGGCAAAGGCAGCTATTCCCCTTGTCAGTCCCTTTTCCGGCTCTGCCAGCTGCCTTCAGGTCTCCTCAAGTGTCCCCGCCTGACCTTTCACCTCCATGGGGTCCTCCAGCAGGGCGTGGGCAGTAGGGATCCTGTTGGAGCACTGAGATGTCGGGTGGGAGATGGCGGAGGTACCCCTGGGGGCATTCCCAGTGCCAGTTTGAATTTGATTTTCCTGCTTGTTTTTACTTGGGAAGTACAGTAACGTTTGCCATGTTTTTCAGACACACATGCTCGGACATCAAGAATATTCTTCTTCACCGCTATTTCAGGTGCCAAGGACTTCAGGCAGGGAGCCCTCAGCTCCTCCCGGGAACCTCCCCCACCGAGGGCTGCAGGGCCCCAGCCTGGGCTACCCCACCAGCTCCACAGAAGACCTGCAGCCCGGTCACTCCTCAGCCTCTCTCATCAAAGCGATCCGCGAGGAGCTGCTCCGGCTCTCCCAGAAACAGAGCGCCGTGCAGAACTTCCATAGCTGATCGGGCTCGCCTGCAGATTTGCCAAGTATCCGCTTCCCGTGGAAGCAAGACCAAAAGAAAATCAACTGAGTGGGTGTTTTTAAGAAGAATTAGCGTCTCCTGGGCCAGCTGCCCAAGTAAGGGAGCAAGTTGCTATTTTAGAAGATGCCATAAGTCATGTGACAGCTCACGATCCTTTACTGTGTTGGCAATTTTGTGAGCACTTGGGTTCAGGTGAAAGTTACATACTTTGGCCAAAAGCCGGCAGCACTTCACAAAACAAAACACAAACCCAAGCTAACAAAATTACTAAATCCGTCTCCTTTTTAAAGGCAAAACATTAAAATGTGTAGATGGTATAAGGATTACAGGAATTACGTGTTTCCATGGGATTCAGTCTGATGTGTACGATGAACCTGCTGCTTTGTTTTTCTGAGAAAAGAGATTTGAAGACGTTTTATTAACAGCTTGATTTCCCTCTTTTACTCCATAGGAACTTATTTTAATAGTAACATTAACAGCAAGAATACTAAGACTGTTTGGGAATTTTAAAAAGCTACTAGTGAGAAACCAAATGGCAGGTTGTAGAGCCTGGTGACTCCAAACGAAGCCATCACTGCATTCCTCCTCCTCCTCTTCCTTCTTCTGGTGCTACAGCTCAGCTCCAAGGGCCCCTTCCCCTTTACGTCTGAGATGCAAGTTTGGCTTTTCCAGTGGAAGAATATGTTGAAGGTTTCATTTTCTTCTAGGGGAAAAAAAAATCCTCCCAAACAGGGGAAAAAGCTCAATATTTATTTGGTTATTCAAAATACATAACATATCCAAGTTCAGATTTACGATCCTTAATCGCGTTTGCTGTTTGCTAATTGCGCACGTGCGACTCCTGGGAGCACCCCCTTTCAGCACCTGTGTTAAGGCCAGTCCTGTAGAATGAGGCTTGGAAGAGGTCCTAACGGATCCCTGCACCTTGCTGGTGATTTGCTCACAAATTCTGTTTGAATGAGAAATCTTACGTAAGCAAAAGTTATTTATAAAAGTTCCTAGGACTACCAAATTGTCATGGCCACATCCCTTAGTAATCACATTCCCTGTGTTCAAGATCTGGAAATGCAATTGAGTTCAGTTCAGCCTCTCTGCAGTGGATCAAGAAATGTAAAGTAGAGCTTTGTGACCACAAGAGAAAGGAGAGAGTTGCCTCCCATGTCTGATTTTATTGGGGTACTACTCTGTTGAGTGACTGTTAAAACTATCTTAGCCACTTTGGGTTTGAGAGAAGGGATCGTCTCTGTTAAGATCTACTCCTGCAGTATAGGCCTTTCCCCACTTCCCAAATTATAGCAAGAAAGATGGCCATGAGGGCTATTCTGTTTTCTGGTGCCTGAGTGAAACTCAGAAGAAAAGCTGGCTTAGATAAGAGATTTGCACTACGAACCTCTTTTTATTAGATCAGCTAACACAGTCATGCATTGCCTAACGGCGGGGATACGTTCTGAGAAATGTGTGCTTAGGCGATTTCATCATTGTGCGAACAGCAAAGTGCACTTGCACAAACCTAGACGGTATGGCCTGCTAACACCTAGTCTATTTGGTGTAGCCTTTGCTCCCAAGCTGCACACCTATACCGCACGTTACTGTGCTGAATACCGTAGGCAGTTATAACACAGTGGTAAGTATTTGTGTCTCTAAACATAGAGAAGGAACAGTAAGAATATGGTATTATAATCTTACGGGTCCACTGTCATATATTCGGTCCACCGTTGGCCAAAACATCGCGATGTGGTGCATGACTATACTTTTAGCTAAATAACAGATGAACAGGTAGGATTTGGGGCTCTGACTAATCAAAACCTGTTTATCTGTGTCAAGTTTTAAGAACCATAAAATAGCTAAAGTGGATTTTCAAACTGTGATCATTGGGTTTCAGACTCATATCTCAATACTTCATTAATTAAGCCTGCCATTCAGACTTAAGAGTCTTACAATGTGGGGAAGGTTGGTTCTGGGAAGTGAGAATGTACCCATTTTTTTTTTTTTTTTTTTTGAGACAGAGTCTCGCTTTGTTGCCCAGGCTAGAGTGAGTGCCGTGGCATTAGCCTAGCTCACAGCAACCTCAAACTCCTGGGCTCGAGTGATCCTTCTGCCTCAGCCTCCCGGGTAGCTGGGACTACAGGCATGCGCCACCATGCCTGGCTAATTTTTTATATATATATCAGTTGGCCAATTAATTTCTTTCTATTTATAGTAGAGACGGGGTCTCGCTCTTGCTCAGGCTGGTTTTGAACTCCTGACCTTGAGCAATCCGCCCGCCTCGGCCTCCCAAGAGCTAGGATTACAGGCGTGAGCCACAGCGCCCGGCCAAGAATGTACCCATTTTTCATCTGTACACCTCTGAAAGAGAAGGGGTACAGGAGAACAGGTCTCTCAAAGATGTTAAATAAAGGGCTGGCGACTGCTGGTCAGGTGATCCCCAGAGGTTCCAAAGAGTGTGGGAGAGGAGGTTCCTTCCAGGCTTGATTTCTTACCTCCTGAACACCAGATTCTCTCCAAAGTGGAATCTCTTTGCATGTCACTCAGAAATATCAGGTTTCATGAATATGGTATTGAGAATTTCAGATATCCAAGCAGAATTTTTTTTTTTTTTTTGAGATGAGTCTCATTCTGTTGTCCCAGCTAGACTGCAGTGGTGTCATCATAGCTCACTGCAACCTCAAACTCCTGGGTTCTAGCGATCTTCCTGCCTCCCAAGTAGCTGAGACTATAGGTGTAAGCCACCACACCTGGCTAATTTTTAAAAATTTTTGTAGGCATAGGGGTCTCACTAGGTTGCCCAGGCTGGTCTTGAATTCCTGGCCTCATGCACTCCTCCCACCTTGGCCTCCCAAAGTGCCGCGATTACAGATGTGAGCCACTGTGCCCAGCTCCAAGCAGAGTTTTATTATGGATACGCTATAATGAATTCAAATTGTGTGACAGCAAATGGAATAAATGGTCCTTTCTCTCCCCATTCTGCTCAGTGTCATAAGTGCTTGCACATAGCGTGTATTAAAAAAGGTTACCTCCTTTGTCCATTGCAGAAAGGGGTCTCTGTTTCAAAGGGGGGTGACTGCAAGAGCAACTTTGCTGCCTTTCAAACTACCATAAAGGGATTCTACTTGTATTTTTATTGTTAGAACCGATACACCTTTAAACAGATGTCAAGACCAAAGACGATGGATAATAAACAACCAGTGGTTGTGGTGTGAGCGGGCCACGTGGGGTTACCAGCACTCTGTATTGGATGTAGAACACACTCACTTTACACTTGTTACCTCTAAACACCTGCCACGACAGTTTTGCCAATCACCAAACTCAGAACAAACTAGCTGTCATGGGTCGAGCCGTACCCAGTGGGTCTTCCGGCACTCAGTTAATGTGATCTACTTAAAAGAAAGGTCCTCGTGTTGATCACGGGTGGCTTGGGAGTTCCGTTTACTGAAGCGCTCTGAAATGAAAAGCTAAATGGTATGTGTTATTTTTTCCTATTGTAAAAAATTCTAGTGGTGACACAAACTATAAATTTGAGTCAAAATGTTTGGAGAAATGATGTTTTGCAGTCTACTTTGTCACAAACTCACCGTGTCAGGTTCCTTCGCTGAACCTCTTCAGCCCAGTGAGAACAGACCTCCCCTGCCCCCTCCCGGGATCTCCGGTCGTGAGAAGCAGACCCAATCATGCGTGCAAGCGTCCCTTGAGGACGTAGAATAAAGCACTGGGAAAACGTAAGGTGCTCGCTGTGCGAGTGCCCCGGGACGGGCGATGTGACATGCTGTGATCGTCCAGTGAATGGGTCACACGTGGTAACCAGAGCAGAACCGAAAGCCCAGTGTTGCTTACCTTTCTCGCTCCTGTTTTGCTTTAAATTCCCTTCCTTCTCCACTAACTTTCAAATAGCCTTTCTGCTCCTGATTTTTTGCAGTTTCTGGCACCAAATAAGTCAGCAGACCTGAGCCCTGCCTTCTGAGATCTCAGAATCTAAGGTAGTACAGATTCCAGTATGGTATCTGGAAGGTACAGATAAGTAACGTGGTTTAAACATCAATACAATATATTCAGAGTACACAGGTGCATTAGGTACTAAGAAGCCGTGGCGGTTGCATGTTTGGGAGTGGTGGGATCTTGGGGAGAGGTCAACTTCGGAAGCTACTTGGATGAAGACAGGGGAGCTCCCCAGGCAAATGGTGAGATGGCATGGGAAGAGCTGGACCTAGGGAAGGTTGTAGAAATTGGGTGAAGTCGTCATTAAAACTGAAGTTGATCCTGATCTGCCGCAGTATGGGACAAAATCCCTAAATGCACTGTTTAGGGAGTTTTTGAAGAGGAGGAAGAGGTGCTGGGAGGGTATGTTTGCAGTAAGACAGTGAGGAAATGACGGGTCTGTGAAGGTCTACAGAGGAAGTGCTCCAGTGTGGGGGAGGGGAGGGAAGAGGGTGGAAGTGATGGTAATGACACCGAGGGTTATTGCTCTCGGTCAGGGTCAGCTGTTTGGCCATGCCAAATCCTTTGTGGAGCATAACAGGTTATAAACAAACATATTTGGCTTCTTTACTGCTACCTATATGTTTTTCTCTAAATTTTATTTGATTTCAGTGTGTTTTCATTTTGGTGGCACATGGCTTTTAAGCCAGGGGTGTTTGCCAACCAGCTATTTCTGGGGGTGAGCTCAGCCTGTTCTGCAAAGCAGAGGGGAAGGTGTGCCCAAAAGCTTGGGGCTGACACAGGTAGTTCAGCGCTTTATGAGCCTCTCCTTGCCCCTGGACAGGGTCAGTTTTACTGCCTTTGCACAACCTCTTTGTGAGCGCTCCAGTGACCAAACCAGTCACTCACACCCTGTTCTGTATCGGCAGCAAGTCACAAGTTAATAGTTAAGCCTCTCTTACTCCTTCTAGGTCCTTAGACATGAATGAATTTGTGGGTTGGAAGGAAAGCTGGTTAAGGTTCTGAGCAGGGGGACTCCAGTCTTAACTCCCACGCTAACTTTAGTAGGGTTTTTGCCATGGTCAATCATTTCTACCTCCAGAGCAAGGCTCCAAAGTCAGTTTCCAGAGCCTGCTTCTCCACATTTGCCCTGGGCAGGGGTGCGAGGAAGTCCACTTCTGTACCAGCAGATAGACCGTGTGAACACAAAACACACTTCTATGCCACGGTCAATGGAACTTCATTTTTACATTTAATCCAACACATTAATAGACATTCTTGTAATAAGTGAGAGGGGTTTCTATGAACAACTGCTGTAACATACTCATAAAATATAATTTATGTTTGTTACCTAATGAACAAAGGGTGTGCACATTTCAGGTTTGTTTTGCTATTTTTGGAGATGATTGTCAGTGTTTAAACTAGGACTCTCTTTTTCCACTATTAAGACTTGAAAACTGAAACGTCATGGTACAATACTAAGTCCATGCTTATGTGTGTAACGGTACACTTGACAATTTATCTTATACACAGCAGCATGGAAATTTAGGGAAAGAATATTAAATGCCTTTGGAAACATGAAACGAAGTTAGGAACCAGCGAGGAAGGGAGAGAAGCAATGAATGTCTTAATCTGATGCACTCCAGTCCAAGTTAGTTTCCCACAGGGTAGATAAGTATCCAGGCTCCTTACTTTTCCTTCTTCCTCCAGGTTTTTCAGGGGCTACTTCACATTTAAAGAAAGAGTGACCAGGTAGAAGGTATGGATCAAAATTTGAGTGATTTGAGTCACGTGGTCACTGATTACACAGAACCTTTCTGGACCATTTGGAGCATGTGAATAGTCTTTTCTCGTGCCTGCCAGATTTCAAGTATTCACGACTTGACTGCCTAAGTGTGCAAGTTAGGAATAATACAGGGTCAAGTTCAAGCCAGACACCCTGTACTGTTCCTCCTGCAGATGGGGGTGGGGGGAGAAGAGGGAGGTACCAGAGGGATTGAGGCTCCACCCATTAGTTCGGTTGCTGTAAGCACCAAAGGACTTGTTTCAGAAAAGGGGAGTAGAAATGCTCTCGACCTGACCCTCCTCCACGGCGGGAAGCGTGGAGACTGGTTAGCGTGAACAAGAAAGGTTGCCCAGAGGCGCCACTGTGGGGCACCGACTCGTTCCCTCCTACTGTGTCTAGGTCCGCGTTCTTCTGACTCTCCCCGCACCCTCGTTTTCCTAGATTAAGAGATTAATGTACGAAAATGTGCAGAGCAAATTGAGGCCACCTGTGGCATCAATACTGCAACTTGAACTTGACAATCATGGTTTACTGGTCTCAAACAGGCACTTAAATCTCAGTATGGGGTATATGGTTTAGTAATTGAACCCTCCCTTCTATTTGTCGGTTATGTTTCTACCCTTCGATTAGCTGCACTGTTTTCTAATGTGCTGTAGAGTTTTTGAAATAATTTATTCAAGTGTTTGGTTTCCATGTTTACAATTTATACAGCTTTCCTAGCATTTTAAATGGAAATGTCAATAAATGCTATGAATTGGTGTCAAAGTGATATTTTCTGTTTGTTTCCTTTGCACCTGATGGTTTTCTCATTTGTAAAACATGAAAAGTTGGAGGAGATGATCTCTTGGTTCTGTAGTTTTGTGTCCCTGGGGAGAACGCCTAGTATTTTCATATTCCAAGAAATGAAGTCAACTTCAGAGGTATTCTATTCAGTGTGTGGGATTTGCAGAGTTGTTTTCACTCCTGTTTACTAGTGCCACTCCCTTCCACTCGCTGTTTTGTTTGACTACTGCCCACTAATCAAATTGATGCATCCACCAAGAACAGATTCATTTTGGAATTAAAAGATTAGGACTCTAGAAAGACATATGAGAAGACC